TGAGCCAGTGTTTCTTATCATCCATCTGTAGCCACTGAGTGTACACAGATCTTTGGCAGAGAAAGCACACTCAAATCTGCTCTGTTTGTTCTTTTGCATTTTGCAGTTTAATGGACATTTTTGTTGACTCTCGAAGCGCTGTGTCCAAATAAGAACGATCTGAGTGGAACAGTGTAGAGATAAATTACAGTTGAAACTTGTATTGTAAATGAAACCTGCTAAGTGTTCGTTTCAATGGTTGCATGCACTGACCTACAGTTACTTTTACTTAAGTAACTTTTGGAAGAAATTGGACTTTTCCAAGTAGTTAGACTTAGACAAACTTTATTGATCCACAAGGGAAATTATTTGGACACTGCTCACTCATCACAATATAATATAATAACAAAGAGAAAAAAGTATAAATGGTAACAATAAATTCAAAATAAGTAGCAAAAATAGCAAGAGACGGGCATCAAATAAGGCATAATTATATAAATGTACGAGTGAAATAAAATATAGAAATACTTAGTAGTTTTCTGGCATCATAGTTTTACTTGTACTTGCGTAATATTGTGTTTGAAGTAACAGTACTCTAGAGTAAAAGTTTTGGTTTTCCTTCTAACCCAGAAGCTTTATGTTGAGAATATTACATGATTTTAAAATTTTGTGCTCCTTAAAGTCACACTGTGGAACTTTTCTGGTTCCCCCAACTGCTTGTCTCCATGGAGATGATACTGTGTTGCTTGAAATTTTACACAATATGGCATTACATCCATGTCCATCTCCACAAGCAGACAGCGCCAACAGACCAAGTTACTAGTCAGATCTATGGAGAGGTCAGCCTGTTCACAGCAAAAATGCAGTGTATTTTTGTGGCAATGTAAACATCCATATTTGAATAAGATAAATACATTTAATGCCACACTCTGGAACATTCTCAGCAAAGCCATAACATCCCCATGGAGACAAGTAGTGCACCTTTAAAATACGATTTAGGCTTTAGTTTAGTTTATTTATTGAGTTCATTTTTTCACCATGTACTTTGAAAATACTCAGTTTTGACCATTGTTTATTGTTTTTTCCATACAGTTATAATAATTTCAAAAATGTAAGTCAGACATTACAGTAATTCATACAAGTACTCTAATGTGAGTACATTTCAAACCAATACTTTGTACTTTTTCTTGAGAAATTTTACATTCAAGTAATGTTACTCTTTGGCTTCTCTACCCACCTACCCAAAATATTATATGTACATGTAACGTATACTTCTCTTCCTGCTGATTTTGCAAAGTTATATTGCAAATTTGAGTATTTTTAATCATATAACACATATAAACAGCATTGCTTTCTATTAAAAGTTAACCCTAAAAGTATATAAGCACCTCTTTTTTCATTCACCAGTAAGTGCATAATCTAGCATCACAAACCAAATATTGAAGCTGTGACTTTTATTAGACCGCTGTGTACTGTCCCATTTTACTTCCTGTCAAAACAATGTCCAGGCAGATAAGCCCATTGTTACTCTTAACAGTATTTGAAGTTCACTTATGGATTGCAGCGACGTATTTAGTGACATTTTCCTTGCAGGGTCAGCGGTTGGACTCCTTGCATTTGTGTTTATGTCTCACTGAATCACTCTGCGTTAGTTTGTGGCAGTTTGAGTCACCGGGCCCCTGTGTTTAGAGTCACTGTGGTCATGGAGTTCAAATAAAAAAAAACGAAAAAAACAGTGTTGCAGCAAAAATGTCAGATGTTTACGTCTTATAAGCTTTGAGGAGAGGTGTGTACTATAATGTATTTTGGAGTTTTAGCTCACTTTCATAAGCAATATTCTATGGGCTTTTTCCCCCATTCCAAAGATACTGTGGGCTGCTTGTTTGTCTCCTTGAAGATGATTTTGCTGAGCCTGGAATGTTCCACAGTATAGCTTTTAACAAATTTATTTTCATTTATTTAAAACTACCTTAAAAACATGCATTCTTATTGTGAGTGTGACCCGTTGAAGTGACACTGGCAGTAGATTTAAAGTTTAAAGCCATAGTGTGGATTCCACGCAATCAGAAAAGTTACGAAGTGTGGCTTTAAAATGACATCTCGTATGCCTATTTTGTTGGTTTATTTTTCTTTGGATTCAGCATTTCTTGAGTATTTAACTATTTTCTTCATATTGTGTCTGATGAATTCCTGGTGGTACTTTTATCTTTTATGTTGTAGTTAATTGCTATGGCAACCGTCCTGATCATGAAACATTGTGAAACTCATGGATTGGTGGTTTTCAGTTTCTAGACTGTGATGAAGTCATACTCCCAGATGGAGGCAGAAGCAAATACTTTTGCTATTGACTACATCTCGTACTTTTGTGACTAGACCCATTAACTTTGTTTCAGGGATGGAACCAAGTCTTTGTTTTGCAAGTCTCAAGTCTTTGAGCTCAAGACAGAGTCAAGTCCCAAGTCAAATACAGGAAAGTCGAGTCTCAAGTCACTGGCCCATAAGTCCAAGTCAAGTCCAAGTCATCTGCTTTGAGTTTCAAAGTACAAAATATAGCTTAGATTTTTGCAATTTATATGAATTTTAAACTAAATTGTACTTAAAAAGTCATGATCATGGAGTTGTAGAAATTGTATTTTTACTTTTTCAATGTTTTGAGAAGATCTTAGTATGAATCATTACGGTCAGAATAGTAAGAATGTTCTATATAGATCCCTCCGTATTGCATTGTATGTACTGTAGTTACATCATGTATTGTTCATTGTAGAAAATTCAGCACCGCATTTATCAACTGTAAATAAAAAATATTTTCTAAAAACATTTTTTTAGGAGAAGCATCAAGTCTTCTCAAGTCACAGGCCACAAGTCTGAGTCAAGTCCCAAGTCACTGACCTTCAAGTCCAAGTCGAGTTCCAAGTCTTAGTCCATTTTATCAAGTCAAGTCTCAAGTCCTAAAAATAGTGACTCAAGTCCAATTCACGACTTGCAAGTCTCACCTCTGCTTTGCTTTTTCTTTGTTACAGAAACAGAAATCTGCATTTTAACAATTACAATTTTAACTGACCCCATCTGTGTTGAATAATGTTGGACCATAGAGTGTTGTGATAACATCTGAAACTGAGCGATACTGTGCAGTGACATCACGTCAGGGGTGTCCTGTGTATCTCTACGGTGCAATGTTCATCAGTTACCATGGAGACACAACGTACACATTAGCAAACACTGTCAAAAGCATTTTAAGATAATCTGAAAACTACAAAAAACACAAAATGGATTTAAACAAAACATTTTCAGGAGCCTGTGATCAAAACGAGCGTTCATGGTCCTGTTTAGCTTTTAGTAATGTTGAAAATATGTTAAAATAAAGCTCAGGTTAAGTCTAACTTGAGTAACAGAGCTTCAGACAGAGCAGTGCCTACAGCTACACCCCCGGATAATGTTGATGACGTCAGCTGCAAAATATCAATAAGTGCGTGACGTCGTGTTTAGGATTAGTCACTTGTCTTGACTTTACAGACCTGGAGCAGTTGTAGTTTTGAGTCAGTTTGTTTTGGAACTTCACAGCTGTCCACAGGAAGTCACTGTTGATTCTGCACCCACACAGAGAGGGGCACCAGCTGCTCAAGATTCACACGTATCAGGGTTTTGTCGAAGTAAAGAAAAGAAAAGTAAAGTAATGAAATGTTTCTAACGTGGAGTGGACACCCAGACTTCTACTAAAACTTTGGGATTGTTGAATTTCCTGAATGAGTGTAAACGAATAGAACCTTACCATTTTTATTCAAAGTGATTGTTGCTCTGTTTATGTCATCTTATTTATTTTTTTATTTTTTTACTATTATTTCTGACAAAGCACTTGTAGCCAATCATGAACCAGTGCTAGTGCAGTCTCTGCAGCTCATTGAGGGAATTCTGGAGGTTCTGAAATTTCACAACAGACATGAGCTGTCCATATACTGAGAATAAGAGGAACTTGTATAAATCCCTTATACGTATTACACGCAAAACATGTTCATTTGTGATTGTGAAACCTTTTTTGTAATTGTAAGAGTGGAGACTATAGTTCCTTGTTAATCACCATGGAAACGGTTCTAATTCTTCTTCATTTTGCAACACATGTATTATTTTTAATGCGCTTTTCTTACTGCAATGGCTTTTAAGATTTCAGAATAATTTCCTTTTTAGATTTTTTTCTGCACTATACACACTGTCATTAAATGGTCTATTTTTTAACTCGTTTCATAAATAAACCGCCCTGGACTTTAAATGAAACACAACAGTTGGATGGGTCAGTGGGACTTTGTTTGACGCGTTCACGGTGACTCTGGGCTTTGTTCAGTTGTGGCGTGTAGGGAGGGTGCTGTCTGGGACCGCTGGATTGTTGGCGTGTTCACAGTGACTCAGTTGTTCAGTTGTGTCTAGAAGTGGCACATTGCACTTGCTTTTTCGGTTCGTTCCTCCGTTCGTGTGTGTCTGCGTGCGCTGCGGCTTTGTAGTTTACTGAAGTCGTGCTGGGACACCCGAGTGGATTCATGTATAGGGCGCTCTGGATTGTGGGGTGCGCAGTTGTTTTATGATGGGGTTGGAGGCTTAAGAGTGCCCCTAATATCCTAGAAAATACGGTATTCATTAAAGGTGCACTAAGTAACTTTTTGGTTGGGGGTCTATCACCTTGTTTCTATGGTCACTGTTCTCTCTGAAATGTTCCACAGTATGACATTAAACAGTTCTACCTTACATTTATTCAATCACAGGTGGTTTTATAGCTCAAAAACACCTAGAAAAACAGGCGCTTTGATATGAGTGGAGTCGACTCTCCACAGATCTGACCTGTAACCTCATCTGGTTTGGTCTCCATAAAGATAGAAAGGTTTAATGCCATACTGTGAAACATTTCAGACAAACATCTCCATGGAGAAAAGTATTTGACAGACCTTCCAGCTGAAAAGTTACACAACGCAACTGAGTATAATGTATAATGCAAACAACTAACTTATAACTTGAATTTCTTTGTTTCTCCACAGACTGTGAGACTGACACGAGCTCAAACTCCAAGTCTCCCATGATCAAGGTGGACCAGGCCCCGTCGCCTGCGGAGGTGATGGACGTGGAGGGTGTACACCTGGAGGAAGGGGGCGCCGCCGAGTCCACGTCCCAGGGCGAGGACTCGGAGCTCAGCTTGAGTTTCCAGGGATACGTGGCCGAACTGCGCCAGTGCCAGAGCAAAATGAGGAGCGCTCAGATGCCCCAAAACGGACGCAATCCTCCAGAGGGACAAGACTGCAAGACAGAAATGTACAAGGCCACAATCGTCTAAAGGGAATTAAACTACTGTTGCACTTTTAAAAGCCTATGGCACTGTTTAAGAAAGAGGGTGACTCAAAACTATGGGCTGCATGTAAAAAACTGAACATTTCAACTCCAAAAATGATTATAGTATTAGGTATTGTATATTTGTTACAGATTCTTGGTGTAAACATGTTGATTTATAGTTTTGGCTGTAATCTGGAGCCTTCAGTGTTTTGTTTTGATATTGTTTAGTAATTTTATGAGCCAGAATAAGACAAGGACAACCATAGAAGAAGCTTGAAATTTGTGTTTGATATCTTTGCTATACAGATTTCAATGAGGCATACTTTATAAAAAATCCTAGATTATTTTGGGAATATTAAGTTGTATTGAAGACTGTCAAATTCTGAGTCGTTCTAGTAAGTCTTCCAAGTACATTTGATTTAGTATTGTTCTAAAAGTTCCACTATGTAACTTTTCTTTTCTCGTGGGGTGCGTGTTTGTCTCCTTGGAGATGATTGTGATTTGCCTAGACTGTTCCACAGTTTACCGTTAAACTAATTTATCTTCCATTTATTTAAAAACACATTCTTATTGTGAGTGGGTCCTGTTGCTATCATTTGTTTATCTCCATGACGATACATTAAGTTTAAATTTAATGCCATAGTGTGGATTCCAAAAAAAGCAAACAATCCACCAGAAAAGTTACATAGTGTAGCTTTAAAATGACAGCTCGTATTATGGTTCATTTTATAAAGTATGCCTTTGTCAAAGTGGTACTATTTTATTGGTTTATTTTTCCTTGGACTCATGAAGGATTCAAAATTTCTTGGATATTTAACTACTTTCTTGATATTTTGTCTTATGAATTCCTGGTGGTACTTTTATTGCCTGTTCTTCCTGTTTCTGTGGCTGCAGGTTGTTCAAACTGTTGTTCATTAAAGAGCTTCAATGGTTGTAACTGAAACAAACCTCATTAAGTCTCATACTTTTTTGAGTTCACCCTGCTAATGTCCTGCTGTGCACATTCTCAAGACTAAGTAAACTGCTATAAAAATGTCTGTTAATATTGTCAATAATTAACAATAATCCTGCTGTAGGTAAGCTGCTCTCACCTGCAGGTCTGTTGCCATGTGCACGCTCTGTGGGCCAGAGCTCCTCTAATATTTTTAGCAGCAGCACATCTGAAGAGAGATTATTACAGCTGTTGAAAATGAGCAGTTAGATTAGGGTTTGTCTTGACGCAGCATGTCACTGCTGGAATGCTGACAACTCTCAGCTCTGGTGGTGGTTAACCGTGGTCCTTAAATTAGCACTAAACTCCAAAGTGGAGCTGTTCATTTCCTCTCCACTGGTTACAAAGTGATTTCTTCTCTGATGAAGGTTCAAATAAGTCCCTCAGAGACCTGTGCACATTATTTCAACTTCGCAAACTGTTTTTCAGTACTAAAACAGTGTTGCTAGTGAAACAGACTACAGACTACTCTAGTACTTTGCAGGATCATACTTTATACTTGAATGTAGGAGGTTTGTAGGAAGCAACAAGGGACTGGAAATTACAATAAACAAGACCATAAAAGATATACAGTGAAACAACAAGTTGCACGTGGCTGTGGGCTCATATAAATAGCTGGGCCTATAGTCCATAGGCCTAATCCAACGGGCCCATCTTTTCCATAAGTATGAATAGGCCCAGGTCCCAGAATACCTGTGTTTACATCAGCGTTGTTTGACCAGGAAAACCCGCACAGGGCGGAGGAGGGGAGGATTGCTCCGGTGTCCCGCCTCCACTTCGGGGGACTTCTCCTGAGCTCTGTCCGCGGCTCGTGTGGCTGCGGTGAGCGCGGCCGTGGGCGTCCGTCGCGTGAAGGTGCGCTCCAGCTGAAGATGCCTCACCATAGACCAGCCTAAATGACGCAGCGAGTTTACACAATAGCGCTTGATATTACACAGGACAGGATCAAACTTGCAGAGTTTCCCACGTTTCCTATGTCCACGCGCCGGCAGAGCGCTCTCCACCTCACAGATATAACGTGACACACGTACGTATAGACGTGCTCCAGGAAGCGTCCGTGAACGAGCACGGGGCGATCATGCTTTACGTAACTCTTCTGCTTCTGTCCTACGTGATGAATGCACACGCGGTGAGTTTAAGATTAACTTTTTTTTTTTTTTTCTGTTAAGATAAACGAGAACTCAGGTTGTGTTTTGCTTTAGCGTTTGTTGACATCCAGTTTAAAAGAGGCGCCCGATCCCAGCAGCAAAGGTGAGCTGTGCAACACTCTTTATACACCTTAAGTTGTCTGTTATTGTCAGGTAACGTTAGTGTGTGGAGAAAAAAATCTAAATTAAAGTTTTTTTGTGCCATTTTTCTATAACAACATTCTAAACTATGTCTGCATGTAAAGTAAAGAGCACATATGAGGTGTCTATTAAATTCAGCAGCATTTGTACTTGTTCTTGTTTCTGTATCAAGTTTAAATCAACTGTTTTTAACATAACTAAGGAAGTCTCTTTGTGGCAGTTTTTACTACAACAGGGAAACAGTGTAAATTCCCATTTCGTCAGGGAGGACGCATTCATCACCACTGCATCACTGTCCTGTCCTCCAGGCCCTGGTGAGTCCACCTGGAGTTCTGTTTTGTTTCATTCACACGTTTAACACAAACCCTATGTATTTAGACTGTGTTCTTCTCTCAAACAGAAAACACTCTGTTTCACCTTGTGATGTCATGGTACTACAGGAAGTGCTCCACTGTGTTTAATAATAATGATAATAATGCATCAGTTTTGTATAGTGCTTTTTGGACATCCAAAGACACTTTACAGAACATTATTCATTCATTCTATACCCGGTGGTGGTGAGCTACTACTGTACACTGCTACTACACAGCTGCCCTGGGGCAAACTGATGGAAGCGAGGCTGCCAATCTGTGCCATCAGCCCCTCCAACCACCACCAACACTCACACACATACCACTTTCATACTAGGCAATGTGGGTGAAGTGCCTTGCCTAAGGACACAACAACTGGCACCCCACAGTTTAAACTCCATACATCTTCACTAGAATCATTTGGATAATTTCAGCCATTCCAATTGTCAATCTCTGCTGAAAAGTAGAAGGAGCTGTTAACTTGAAAACTATCGCTTCATGACATCACAAGGTGGAACAGAGCATTTTGAGCTTTAGAGATGCAGACAGACTAATAATAAGGGGTCACTGTGATCGAAACATAACACTACTCTGGGTCTGTTTTTGAAGAGGTAACATTTTAACATGACTTAAAGCTAACATGAGTCAATTCTGCAGACTAGGACTTTTCACTGCATTAATATTGTTCTTAAATCTTCAGTTTTATCCAGTTTTTGATGCACTCACATCAGTTTTTTTCCTGTACCAGTTCATCTGTGAGGTCTGAGGTTGGGTGTGGGACAGGGCTGAGACATTTTGAGACACACAGACAAAAGTAGCTTGTAAAAACAGTGATTAATATACAATGATTATACACATAATTCACATAATAAGTTGTGCATATTTTTCTTTCTTTTTTTTTAGATGATACACATTTTAATTGCAAAAATAACAAAAATATCAAATGGTAAAAAAGAAATAAACTGACCAATGACTAAAGACTAATGAGCTGGAACTACAAATAAATGGGAAGCCAAACATTGAAAAAAGAAAAAAAACAACTTTTGCTTAGAAGCTAAATAAACACATTAAGAGATAATTAATTAAAGTTGCATAGCACTGTGATTACACATTGCGTAGTAAGCCCAATTATTTTCTTTATTGATGTTTTGTACATTTGACTTGTGCTTAAAGATACAATATATAACTTTTCTAATGAAGGGTCCACCACCTATTGTCATGCATTTTCATTTATATTTTGATTATTATATTTTGGTAAAAGATTTAAATCTAAAACTTTCATTTTGTCTTCTTTTTACATCCACAAGCCTTAAGTTATTTGTTGCTTGTAAACTTGAATCATGTGTTGTATTAAAACAAACTAAATGTAATTTGCTCCATGAAAAGAACTAAACTTAAAGGGCCCATATTACGCTATTTCCTGATCTATGTTATAATGTTGTTTCCTCATCAGAAACATACCCAGAGTTGTGTTTGTTTCATTCACTCATGTTTAACACAAAAATCCTGCATATTTATTCTGAATTCCTCTCTCAAACTGATAACACTCTGTTCCACCTTGTGATGTCATGTGGTAAAACAGGAAGTGCTTCACTCTATATACACCTTCATTAGAATCATTTGGATAATTTCAGCCCTGAAATTGCCAAGCTTTGTTGAATAAAAGGTAAAAGGTTAACTGTTGCTGTTAACATAAAAACTAAAGCTTCGTGACATCACAAGGTGGAACAGAGCATTTTGAGCTTTGCAGAAGTAGACAGACTAATAATAAAGGATTATTCAAACATGTGGGAATGAAACAAAACACAAATCCTGGTATGTTTTTGGGGCAGTAAAAGGATTATAAAATGGTTAAAAGCTCACAAGAGTCAATTTGGTGTAATATGGGACCTGTAACAAAAACAATGACTTAACATTAGTAATAGTTTTCTTGTTTAACCACACACAGATGCTTAACTCATTATAGACTGCTCTGCCAAATCCGAACTTTTTTCAAATACATTTTAATCCGTTTAAGATCACTTTCAATGAATCTCAAAACCTCAAGATTTAAGTGTGGAGAGAAAAAGCATTATGATAAATGAGGGGATAATAGCGGGATAGAGGTAGGTGTGTCTGGATCATTTGTTGTAAGTAGAGCGATAACAGTCATTTTGTTCTGGGTAATTCATGCACACAGGGAGCAGCCCGGGTGAAGCTAATTATAGTTCAGGGTCACAATGGATCCAGGCAACAGGCAAGCAGCAGTGATCTGTGGTGCAGTGGTCGCCCTGTAACCGCAAAGTTGAGCAAGTGAGTGGAGAGTAAATGAAGTTTGGTCTCTTAACATACAAGCTCTCCTGTGGAAACAACACTAAAGGCTGCTCTAAATATGCTTTTCTTCCATAGGGACATATAGCCTGATTCACTTTGTAGAAACCGTCTGACCTCGCAGCATTAGAATTCGTTCTCTCAACTGTAGGCGGGTACTTTTTAAAATTTAACCAGTCGCTACTATTTTGTCGTGACGAATGTAATGCCCCACTAACAGGACTAACTGGTATATTAAGCTTTTCCCAAATCCTGTAGGAAGAAGAACAATAACGTCTTTTCCCTTGATAAAATTCACCAAACATTCTCTTTGTTCTGCTGTGAGATAGTATTTTGACCCCCATAGTATATTGACCCTGGGGTCAGCATACTGCTATAGTAAAATGCCCCCCCCCCCCCAAAGGATTTTGACTCCCCTTACTTTTTTCTTTCTTCTTACTTATATGATCATTATTTCTCATGGAATTTACTTTTATTATATATTGCTACATATTCACTGTCTTTTAAGGTATTTTAAGGAATGTTTTAATGGATAGCGACTTGGTATTTTGTGTACATGTAACATATGTAGGTGAGCCACTTGAAAGTATCTGACTATAATAAACATATTGGGGGGTCAGATTTCTATAGCTACAGGATTTTGACATCCTTTATCCTCCTTTAATGATCCTAATAGATCATTGTCAATATTCAACTAACATTATTTCTTACTTTATATCATAATAACTATAATAAACATATTGAGGGATTAAATATGTCAGTGTTTTAATTTGCAGATATAGTATTAATATTCAAAGTTTTTCTATAGAATTCAAGTTCTTTATTAATAAAATATAGATTTTCATCATTTCAAGGGGGTCAGTATTCTATGGGGGGGTCAACATACCATAATAGGATTCTGACCCCAGGGTCAAAATACTATATGGTATGTTGACCCCGGGGTCACCTCACCGCGGGGTCAAAATCCTACCACACCGGCTTTAAATCCTCGATCTCTGGAATCTTTGCCAACACAGAATCTATGGCGCTGAATGGTTGGTGCCCGAGCTCTTCCACTTCTGGTGTTCTTGCAAACTGTCTAGTGTATTCTAACTCCTGACCTAGTCACTGGAGAGAAATGAAATTGAGCGGAGGCACTACGTGGCACCGGCCTGGCTAAGGGACATAAGGATCACTCCTTAAAGTAGCACCTACACTTTACACTCTTGTATGTAACAGGATTGTGATGAAATGTACTGTAAAGGATTTTTGATATCCAAGTCTGATTTGTTCAAGTTTCAACTCCAAAAAGTTAGTCGAACATTGATATATATATATATTTTTAAATTCAGATCCAGTTTACTCAAATACTAAATCCCAAATCTCCTGTGTATATTTTGTAGTATCTAACATTGCAACAAAATGAAGCAAAACATTTCTTTGAGATGTCCCACATGAAGAACAACATGATACATTTTTTTACAATGTGTGTATGTGAGTAAATTACAGCAGAAGTTTCAAATTGATATCTTTAATTCAAGACTTTTCCCTATTCACCTGCAGTGTCTTGTTTTATTAACAATGCCCAACTGGATCTTGTACTTTAAACTGTGCAGTATATAATGAAATCTAAATCTCAGTTTGACTTGCACAGTTCTCAAATCATAAAGGCTGCAGTTATTAAGAAGATATGCCCCTAACATTTTTAAATAGAAATCTCTTGTACCTAATTAGACCTCTACAAACATGTCCTGAAATACACGCAATTCTTCTATTAGTGTCAGTTCATACTTCAGTTTTGCTACTTCGAATCTTACTTTTGAAACATGTCACAAATCTAAATCGCAATACTTGTCAGACCTAGTTTGTAACCAACTATGTAAATCATTGTCGTTTGTCACGCAGTTCCCAAATTGCTCAATGTTAGAATTACACTAAAGATTTTCTGGTGTCAATAGCAAAGTCATGTTTTTTTGTTTTTTTTTTACGTATTCCAGGACATATTTATTAGTTTTCAAATAAATAGTTGTGATGTTAGATACAAGTGGAAAGTATTTGAGCTGTTCTCTGAAGTTGAAGCAGGGCCAGTCCTTGTACACAGAGGTGGCTAAAGTACTCAGTTTTGCACTATGTAACTTTTTGATTGGGGATCTGTTACTTGCTTGTTTCAATGGAGATGTCATTGCTTTCCCTGGAATGTTCCACAGTGTGACATTAAACAGCTCTACCTTATGTTTATTCAATTACAGGTGGTTTTATAGCTCAAAAATTCCTAGATGTTGTAGGGTTGCTTCTCCACAGATCTGACCTGCCACTTGGTCTAATTTGGAAAGGCTTAATGCCATACTGTGACACATTCCAGACAAAGCAATAACATCTCCATGGAGTAACGTATTTGAAGAGCCGTCCACCAGAAAAGTTACACAATGCACCTTAAAGTAAATTTGAATTTTGTTCAAGAGAAACAGTTGAATCGATAATCTCTTTTCTAGCTGTTTTATTTGTATAGTTTTCTTTGCTCAAAAATGTGTTAAAAACAAACTCCTCAGACGTTTCAGAAGGTCTCAAACACTTTCTACTCCACTACAAAAATGCAGAGGAGTAGAAAGTGCAGAAATATGTTCTCAAATCTAGTGATGTGAAAGTAAAAAGTATCCACTTTAAAACTGACTTATGTAAAGTAGGGTCCACTTTTCTCCATGGAGATGTTATTTCTTGTCTGGAATGTTTCACAGCATGACATTAAGCCTTTCTATCTTCATGGAGACTATCTTCATGGAAACTACACCAAGTTACAAGTCAGATCTGTGGAGAAGCAACCCCTCGCTCACAGTCAGAATGCCTGTTTTTCTGCGGATTTTTGAGCTGTAAAACCACCTGTAATTGAACAAAATGTAAGGTAGATCTGTTTTAATGTCACACTGTGGAACATTCCAATCAGAGCAGTAACATTTCCACTTCTGATTTTGACATAAATAGTTGAGATGTTAGATACAAGTGGAAGGTATGTGAGCTGTTCTCTGGAAGTTGCAAGTTGAAGCAGTGCCAGTACTTGTGCACATGGCCAAACGCCTGTTTTCCACCTACACTTTTTTTACAGTAACACAACTCTGGACGTCTCTGGGAGTTTGCGGCATTAGATCATTGTCACATTGTCATTATTGTGGAAGCTGGAAGAGGGCTGCAAGGAATTCTTATAAAAGAAATTACAGTGAATAATAATTGGATTTTACATTTCTCATTTTCACAGGTGTTCTCTGACTCATAATTTTGACCGTGACCGGAAATTTGGTTTCTGTGTACAAGAGAGACAAAAACCTGGGGGTAAGAACTCTAAAATCCATGGTTTGAAGAATGATAAAAAAAAAATAGGACAGTTGCCATAGTGATTAATAATTTCAAATAAAATACATCTTTAGAATGGAAAGGTACTAAAATGTTGAGTGTAACAGGAAGCTGAAACCCATGAATGCTCAGGTATTTTTCAGGTATTTTCATTAGAAATATCCAAATCGTAAATTTTTAACCTGGTCCAGTCTATTTTTTGTAACAAGACAGAATTTTAACAGTATTCATTATTTTGGGTTTTGTAATTGTTATGTGTACTTACCTGGAAAAAACACAAAAGTGAAGTTTTTTTTCTTACTCTAACATCATTTTGGGCTGCTCTACATGTATCTCTAATGGTGGAATGTTTAGGAGTTACCATGGCGAAGCAATGTACACAGTAGCAAACACTGTCAACAAAGTTTTAAGTCTGTATAAAGACTCAAGAAAAAGAAAAACAAAACACAAAATGGATTGAAACAGCACATTTTCAGGAGCCTGCGATCAATTTGAGCGTTCATGGTCCGGTTTAAGAGTTTGATGTTCAACAAAAATGGTGAATGACTAACTGAAAACCAGCTAAATCATTTATTTATGGTCAGATTGTGTTAAAATAAAGCTTAAATTAAAGTCTAATAGTAGTTCGCATCACACTTCCAGGGAATGTTGATGATGAGCTGTCCAGAGCATGTTGTGATATTATCTGAAACCTAATTGACACTTCATTTTGGTGTATTATTTTGTAGTTGGTCTCCCTGGTCCCAGAAGAAACCTGAGCCCCTGTCTGTCTGGTCCCTGTCAGAATGGAGGTATGTGCTCAGTGATCCAGCGACAGGAGTTTGACTGCACCTGCCCCGAGAGCCACAGCGGGCGACTGTGTGAGCAGAGTAAGTACAGTGTTCAGTACAGCATCATGAACTGCTACAATGTGGGACCTATTCACAAACACACTGACTAGATCTGGGTAATACTCAGTAACTTTTCTAATGCACAGTCCGCCACCTGCTTTTCTCCATGGAGATGTTATTGCTTTGCCTGAAATGTTTCACAGTATGGCATTAAGCCTTTCCATCATCGTGGTTAGTTGCTGGTTAGATCTGTGGAGAGGGAAGAGCTGATAGTCAGAATGCCTGTTTTTCAAGGTACTGTATTTTCCAGGCTATTAGGCGCTCTGGATTATAAAACGTCATTAAATGGTCTATTTTCAGACTTTTTTCACAAATAAACTGCACCGGACTTTAAAGAAACACAACAGTTGGATGGGTCAGTGGGACTTTGTTTGGTGCGTTCACGGTGACTCTGGGCTTTGTTCAGTTGTGGCGTGTAGGGAGGGTGCTGTCTGGGACCGCTGGATTGTTGGTGTGTTCGCAGTGACTCAGTTGTTCAATTGTGTCTAGAAGTGGCACATTGCACTCGCTTTTTTCGGTTCGTTCCTTCGTTCCGTTCCTTGTCGGTGTGGAGTGAGTGTGGCTGTGGGTGTTTTCTGCTGTGCGGTCGCTGTCTGCTTCGTGTGTTTTTGCGTGTGCTGCGGTTGGTGCGGCTGTAGTGGTTGTAGTTTACTGAAGTCGTGCTGGGACACCCGAGTGGATTCGTGTGTAGGGCGCTCTGGATTGTGGGGCGTACAGTCGTTTTTTGATGGGGTTGGAGACTTAAAAGCGCATCTAATAGCACAGAAAATACGGTACACTGCAAAAAAGCTTGGCCAAAATTTAAGATATAAACACTTAAATCTATCAGAGAATGACTTAAAAGTAGTGGAATGATCTGCCAATACCTCTAGACTAGAATGAAGCACTTATAACCTGATATAAATGTTTAAATTTTGTCGAGACCAGAGAAATTTGCAATTTGTTTTTGACAAATAAAACCAACTGTAATTACCGTATTTTCCGGGCTATTAGACACGCTCTTAAGCCTCCAACCCCATCAAAAAACAACTGCGTGCCCCACAATCCAGAACGCCCTATACATGAATCCACTCTGGTGTCCCAGCACGACTTCAGTAAACCACAAAGCTGCACCACCCGTAGCACACGTAAACACACACGGAGCAGACAGTGACCGCACAGTGAAAAACACCCACAGCCACACTCATCACTCCACACAAACGAGGAACGGAACGGAGGAACGAACCGAAAAAGCGAGTGCAATGTGCCACTTCTAGCCACAACTGAACAACTGAGTCACTGTGAACACGCAAAGCGCCTAATAGTGTGGAAAATATGGTAAACAATATAGATGTAAGATAGATCTGTTTAATGTCATACTGTGGAACATTTGAACCAGAGCAATGACACATCTATAGAAACAAGAACGTGATGGAGCCCCAACCAAAAAGTTATATAGTGCACCTTTAAATTTACTCAAATGCAGTGTTGTATTTCTCAGAGTTTCTACATGACTAATTACTGAAGTTACAATAATTACTAAACATTTTGGTTACTCTTCCCACTGTAACTTTTTTTCTTGCACGACTCTCACAAATATAATTTAGTTTTTCTCATTTTTGTCATCTATCATTTGAAAATAAGACAATTCTGTTCATTATTTAATATTTTGTCCTTACAGTTACACTAACTTCAAATTATAATCAGATGTTGCGTCCACACAGTTAGTCTTACTTGAGGTGTAGTTTCCTCAAATACTATTTTACTCTTCACTTTACTACTTTGTACTTCTACTTGAGCAATAGTATTTTGAAGTAATGTTACTCTAACTTTGAGTACATTTTGTGGCTATTTTACTAACCTCTTATAGTGACCCACTGTTTAAATCACTGTTGTTTTTTCTGTGACTTTACGACAATCTGTGCTCCATATGCAGTTCAGATGCTGTTTCACAATATTATGAAATTAAAATCATATTTAGCTTTGAATAACAATAATAATAAAATAAATATGTATTGTCCTTAGTTTAATTATTTAACCTCCCAGTGAGATTTTCGGGGGGTCCGGCCCAGTGAAAAAACACAGCTGTCCTAAAAAGACACGAGGAAGCTTCTGTCAAACTATACTGTACCAAGAATCAAGAAAAACAAATAACAAAAAGAACATTTAAAGGCTCATATTACACGATTTTCTGATCTATGTTATAATGTTTCCTCATCAAAAACATAACTAGAGGTGTGTTTTGTTTCATTCACACATGTTTAACACACAGACCCTGCAGATTTACGCATTAGTTTTTCTCTCAAATAGAAAAAAACTCCACCTTGTGATGTCATGTGGTAAAACAGAAAGTGCTCCACTGTGTTTTTAAACTCCAATCTGCTCATCTTTACTAAACAAAAGGTAAAATGTAGCTGTTAAATGGAAAACTACTTGAGCTTTGGAGATGTAGCCAGACTAATAATGTAGGATTACTCAAACATGCATGAATGAAACAAAACACAACTCCAGGTATGTTTTTGATAAGGTAACAGCTTTATAACTTGGCTTAAAGCTCATAAAAGTTTTTGCGTAATTAGGACCTTTAATGGCTGAACCCATGCAATTGCACTTACCTAAATCTATGCATGGTCTCCCTACAATAACCACACATTTGAGTTAGAAAAGCATTGTCACGGTATTGTGTGAAGCTCTCTCTTCACCGCTCATGTTTCAAATCACAGGCTTTTATGTTATTTTTCTTCTGTCTGCTCCTTTCAGAAAAGTGCTACGAAACCGTACACCTACACTATTATGACACCGGAGAGTCTTGGGGCCGAATTCACCTCCGTAATGTGGAACAGTGCACATGTGTGGCAGGGGAGATACGCTGTGAAAAGGTGCACTACACCGGTGAGTTCAAATGAGTTTGTTTGTTTTTCTTTGGGGATTGGGCGAAACATAGCCAGATATTTGCAACGGGTATTTGAAACCAGTTCTGTTGTAATAATAGCAGATTTTACAAGGTGAATAAAAACTTGAAGTTGTAGTGGAGTGGAGTAGCATTGATAAAAGTATCAAAAATCAGATTCTAATCGATACTCAAACTAGTATTTAATAGGGATGTAACAATAACTGAAATATCGTGATATCTTATCGTCAGAGTTCTCACAATAATATCGTGGACCATCACAATATATTGAATTACAAGTCTCTTTCTTAAATTAAGAGTTATGGTGCAGCAGTAGCGAAAAAAGACAGGGGGAACTACATAGACCATGTTCCTTTGCTCCATTTCAGTGTAGACCACATGAAGAAATAACAGTTCTAAGCACTTTTAAGTGTTATGATTGTCACTTGTCACTTGTCAAGGCATTTTAAGAGGAAAAAGTCACATATTAAGAGTTTTGTTCACAGCCTCCACAAAATATCACAATAAATATCTTACACCCCATCATATCGTGAGCTTTCCGACAATATCACAATAAATATTGTACTGTGAGGTTCATACCGTGACGATATCGTATTACGCAAAATTGACTCCTGCAAGCCTTGAGTCATGTTATAATCTTCTTATCTTATCAAAAACATACTTGGAGTTGTGCTTTGTTTCATTCTCACATGTTTGAGTAACCGTTTATTACAAGTCTTTCTACATCTTCAAAGCTCAGAGTGCTCTGTTCCTGATGCTCATATGCGCTGGTATCTATATTTAAAAAGTCCTAAATAGATTTAGAATGATCTTGAGCTGTATCAGAATGAGTATAAAACCACACAGACTTTTATCCGCCCATGGACCACTATGGAACATACCTGGACAACTGAGGGATTACGCAGATATTAGGCTACATGGAAATATAAAAGAAAGTACAAATATTTAGTGTTGAGTATCGAGCGGAGAGCTTAACAAAAAGCCCAATCTTCATCCACGTTTATCATGCCTCATAAACTCTAAATATCAGGTATTTTCCTAGTAACAGTCCCAGTTCACCTCACCGCGGCGTCTATGCCCAACCCTTCCTTTGATCAGATCTCCATAGTTACAGTAACGTGCTTTGGAAAGTGATGTAGTGACTCACAGTGACTCAGAATAGTGCAGAGGACACACCCATGGGTCCTTGAGGTGCTCTCGCTGGTGGGGCCTCCCTGGGCTTTTAACTCAGGCTTTGATGGTTTCACGCTCCAGGACTGTTTAGTGTCATGGTAACGGGATGGGAGAGGTGTGGTCCTGCAGAAACGAGGGCTTTTGGACTAAGAAACAGTTATTTTAAACTGTATCTATTGTTCAAAGTTCAAAGAAGGTGCACTGTGTAACTTCCACTTGGGTCCACTACTCACTTGTCTCCATGGAGTTCTTTCTTTGCTTGAAATGTTCCACAGTAGGACATTAAACATATCTCCCTTGCACTTTTTTAATTACAGGCTCAAATACACCTCAGGCAAAGTTATTTATAAAGCACAATTCATGCACAAGAAACCTGACATGGACTTGTACCATGTGCAGACTTGTTTCTCCACCTGTCTTCATTGTGATTACCAAGTTTATTTCTATACTGTGGAATGAATAATCAAGGCCAAACATGTAGATGAGCAGATGGAGAACCGCCCATCTGAAAAGTTACACAGTGCACCTTTAATCAATTCTGTGTAATATAGGACCTTTAATGCAAAAATACCAATACTTAAAATCTCTCTATTTTTAAATCAAATATGACAAACATTTTGGACTATATTGTTTATATTTGAGTTTACCTGCATATACATTTATGTTTTATATCAGTTCAAGCTGAGGTGAACTGAAGTTAATGACTGAAGTTAGGCAATACACCAAGGTAAAATTCTTTTAATAGAGGAGTTTTCATCTTAATCATAGACTGTATAAAGAAATGAACTAAGTGAGTGTGATGTCACACACAGCGTTCAGCTCTGGTCAAATAAAGCTCGCTCATAACGGATACAGGGGCGAATTTTATGAATAGGATTTTTTTGACGAACAAAATAGAAAAACAAAACAAAACCAGGAGGATTAATACAAACATTTCAAGACCAAAATGATGAGGCTCACAGCAGCAGTTACAAAGAAAGGGATGACAATATTCTAATGTAAGTCAACAGGAGCCAAGGTCAGTAGGAGCTGGAAGAGCCGCATGTGAACTTCCGATTTGGAATGAAGTGATTATCGTGTTAGCTGTGTCCATTTAGGTATACAGTCTATGGTCTTAGTACAAAATTCAAAGGTACCGAATCTATATTGTGATAATGTGATACTATTAACTGGTATCAGATTGTAACAACTGTTTTTTTTAATCATGTATCTTTTTTGACTATAAAGACTTAAAGGTGCACTGCATAATTTTCTGGTGGATGGTCTTCTTGCCTTAACGGTGATGCTTAAATGTTCCACAGTGTGGCATTAAATGTACCTGTCTCCATGGAGACAAGATGTTGGCGCCACTAGGCCTAGCTACAGCTCAGGTCTGTGGAGAGTTGGCCCTGCTCACAGTACAGGACATCAGAGGTGGGGACTTGCAAGTCGTGACTTGGACTCGAGTCAGACTTGAGTCAATATTTTTAGAACGTGAGACTTGACTTGATAAAATGGACTAAGACTTGGGACTCGACTTGGACTTGAAGGTCAGTGACTTGGGACTTGTATCGGACTTGAGGCCTGTGCCTTGAGAAGACTTGAGAAACACTTTTAAATCTCATATTTTTCTGTTCTGTACATAATGATTCACACTAAGATCTTGTCAAGACATTTAAAAAGGAAAAATTTGCATTTCTACAACACTTAAATACTGATATATAAATATACTATGATTTTTTAAGTACAGTTCATCTTCAAATTCATATAAATTGCAAAAACCAAAGCTATATTTGGTACATTGGTTTAAAGACTTGAAATGACTTGAAGCTCAAAGCAGACGACTTGGACTTGACTTGAACTTATGGGCCAGTGACTCAAGACTCGACTTGGACTTGTCTGTATTTGACTTGGGACTTGACTCGGACTTGAGGTCAAAGACTTGAGACTTACTTGAGACTTGCAAAACGAAGATTTGGTCCCACCTTTGCAGGACATACGGGATCTTTAAAGGTTTTTTTGAGCTATAAACACTGAAGTAAGATAGACATGTTTCAAGCAAGCTACCGTCCATCTGAAAAGTTACGCACCCTTAATAAAACTGACAGCTTTCTTTTTTGGCGAATATATATTTTTCAGCAAAAAAACATACCTAGTACATGCACTGGTCAAAAAAGGAATAAATGAGAGGGAATAAGATTAAGTATTAAATCTGACTTGTCTTGTTTTCAGCGTGCCAGTCCAATCCCTGCCAGAACGAAGGTTTGTGTCGACTGATCACTTCCACTGGGAAAGAAGTGTGCTACTGTCAAAGGGGATACAGCGGGCCTGACTGCAGCCTGGGTGAGAACTGCTCTTTCTGTTACATATAAAATGAAAAAAAAGTACATATATTAAATGTGGGCACTACCAGTCAAAAGTTTGGACTCACCCTCTCATTCAATGTTTTTTTTCCTATACATTGATGACTTTCTACATTTGATATACACAGAGAAGACATCAGATATATGAAGTAAAATGTATGGAATTATGTAGCAAGAAGAGGAATTCTCAAATTACCCTCCTTTAGCTTTGTTGAAAAATATTTAGCCATTTTCTTTTACTAAATAATTCCACATATCTTACTTCTTATATTTGATGTCTTCTGTATGTGTATAAAATGTAGAAAGTAGTAAAAAAAAAACTAACTCCAAACTTTTGAATGGTGCTGTTTCATTCAAGATATATAAATGTGTGTGTGTGTGTGAGTATAAAAAATATGTACAGTTATTAAATTTTTTTCCCCCCTTTCCTACATTCCATATACAGTTCTGTAAGTGTATAAATTGTAGAAAGTAGTAAACATATAGAAAGTCCAACCTTTCAATTGGTAGTGTATAATATGAGTGAATGACTTCATGGTTGCATCACTGTGTGCCCTGTAGTGAGCCTCCATCGTAACTCTGTTTGAGTAACAAGTGAAGACATGAGGCTCTACAGTTGTGCTTACACGGTGCAGCTGCAGTTGTTAACACAAACACAAGAACAAGCTCTGACACAGTCTAATGCAAAGGGGAAAAAGTAATTACATTGCTATTATCAGTGTGAAGAAACTGCCTTATTTATTAACCTACATCAGAAATGTGCTGCTTAATGTGGTGTGACACATGACTAAAGAAGAGGATTAAAGTAGGAAATCTCCACAGAATAAGCCGGTTTTCTCGATAACTACAGTAATATCCACCATTGTTGTGCAATAGTATTCATTATTTAACATGTTTTAGTACTCCCTATGGTTATACAACTACTGATATGAGGTTACTATCTTTGGAATATACTGAAACCATAAACTGTATAAAGAAGTGCACTAAGGGAGTGTGAGGTCACCCATAGTATTCAGCTCCAGTCAAATGAAGCTCATAGTGGCTATCGGGTTATACGGGTGAATTTGGAACCAGGTTCATATTAGAAATAGGAATATATTTACAGAGAAAATAGTGTAATAAAAACTCCAGGATCATATACAGTGAGTTAATACGGATTACGGACATTTTAAGACCAAAATGACAAGGCTTACTGCAGCAGGTACAGAGAGAGGGGTAACAGTTTTTGAATGTAAAGTCAATTGGATTCAGAGATGATGGAGCTGGAAGCTAGCCAGACTGGTGCCACCTAGTGCCTCCGCTCAATTTATCTCATTTCTCTCCAGCAACTAGTCAGGAATCAAAATACAATATACAGTTTGCAAAAATCCTAGAAGTGCAAGTTCGGGCACAAACCAATTAGTGAAGAGTCATATTCAGTGTTGTCAACGATTCCCGAGATCGAGGGTTTAAAAAAATAATAATAGATCAGTTTTATATAGCGCTTTTTTGGACACTCAAAGATGCTTTACAGAGCATTATTCATTCACTCTATACCCGGTGGTGGGAAACTACTACTGTAACCACAGCTGCCCTGAGGCAGACTGACGGAAGCGAGGCTACCAATCTAAGCCATTGGCCCCTCCAACCACCACCAACACTCACACACACACCACTTTCACACTAGGCAGTAAGGGTGATGTGCACACAACAACAGTTTTTTTTTTACAACTGGCCCTGTGGCACCTGATTTTCCTAGTGGTCTCCCATTCAAGTACTAACCAGGCCCAGACCTGCTTAGCTTCTGAGATCTGATGGGATCAGGCTTTGACAAGCCGGTAAAGCCAAAATAAAGAGACTGTTTGGTGAATTTTATCAAGGGGAAAGACGTTATTGCCCTTCTTCCTAGAGGATTTAGGAAAAGCTTAATATACCAGTTAGCCCTGTTAGCGGTGCATTACATATGTCACGACCAAATAACAGCGATTGGTAAATGACAAAAAGTACCCGCCTACTGTCGAGCGAATGAATTCCAACGCTACGAGGTCAGACGGTTTCTACGAAGTGAAACCGGCTGATGAATCAGGGTAGCTGGAAGCGGCCCCATGAACACTTCCTATTTGTAACATGGTGGCTAGCGGGTTTGCCATGTCCACTTATTTATTGTGCAATGAATAATTATGTATTTATTGTGCAGAGCCAAGGAACGAGTGCTACAACAGGCGTGGGACCAGCTACAGGGGGCTTGGGGGCACCACACTCTCTGGCGCCCACTGTCTGCCCTGGGACTCAGACCTGCTGTTCAATGAGCTCCATGTGGGCAATGTGGACTCCTCACCACTCAAAGGCCTGGGGGGACACGCCTACTGCAGGTTTGTGCTTACATCAGTTGTCAGTTCAACTATTCATGGACTCTAAAATTACTTCACTCTTTTGGCAAGCAGCTCTGCCAGAGATGTGAAGAATACCTTGAAAATGTATTTAGTTACAGAATACTGAATATCTGTATTAAAGGTGCAAAGTTTTCTGGTGAAGGGTCCCTAACTACTTATCTTTGCCTAGAACGTTCCCTGGTGTGACATTAAACATATCCATTTAGCATTTATTCATTATGGTGTTTCTACTGCTCAAAAATACATCCATTGCTTCTGTGAACAAGGGCGCCTCTCCACAGATCTGACCTGTAATGTAGCGCAGTGCTGTAGCCTGCTTATCTCCCTTGTGATAGATACAGTAGCTTAATCTATACTGTGGAACATTCTAGCAATAAGCAATAATAAAGCAATAACATTTCCATGGAGACAAACAGGTGGCCAACCCACATTTAGAGATGTTGCACAGTGCAGCTTTAAACTCTATTCTGTGGCATATTCTGATACATGGGCCAATTAGAGTACTGTATTCTGAATACTTGGAATACTCTTGCATCACGTTACATTATATTATAGTTTGAAAAAATTTAATTACAGTTTTATTTTTGTTGCACTGTTTCTTATGCTTTAATTTATGCCTAATTAGAGAAGGACAAATCACCCATGAACACTTTGCAAGACCTGTTTTCTATTTTTCTCACTAATACTGTACAGTTCAAAGCCAAAAGTCCATGATCAAGTACTGACAAGTGTTCAGTTTAATTTAGGAGATTAAAGTGAAAAAGTAAAATTAGTATTCAGACTATGTATTTTCAGTACATGTATTCACTTACTTCCCAACACCAGGCTGTGTTGTATAAGAACAAATGAGCAAAAAATAATGGACTGAGGACAGGGCAATACAAGAGAAGATTTGTGATAAATAACAATAGCGATATACCCAATACCTATGTCAGAATATTAAATTACAAACTTGATTTCACTACAGAGGAACAGACTTGACACTCAGTACTGATTCCGATACCACAATGATAATAAAAAACACAATTAATACAACATAATAGTACTTTATAGCCTTATATTTGTGGAATCCCTGAGTCGTCCAGGTAGCTATGTACTCTTATATTGTTCTGATACAGCTCGAGATCATTCTAAAGCTAAAGGAAAGGTTCATTTTTGTCCTGTGAATGTGATTTTTTTAGTATCAGTACCTGCTCAAGCTTCGATACTAGTTTTAGTATCGATTAGTGTCTGATTTTCGAGACATCTGACAACTCTGTGGTTATTTAACAGTGCTTTTATTTAGATTAACTTTTATTTTGGGACATTTTACCAACTTATTTTCTTATATTATCTTCTTTTTTTTAACTTCTGCAACAACATTAAAAGCAAATGTTGTATTTAAACTTATCTCTGTGTATTTGCTGTGTGTGCTGTTCTGGTCCTCCTGCTGTCTAGAGTTTTTGGTGTTGCCATGGTGACATTCCTCATAAAGAGATGCAATGGCACATGTCCCAAAGCGTACAAAAGACATCAAAGAGAAAGTCCAATTTTCCTGAAGAAGTCTAGGCAAAAAAACCCCAGCTGTTTCTCGTACAGCTTTAGTTTTGTATCTTAAAATTGCAGTGATAGCTTGTGTAATGTAGCGTGTAGTGCTCGGCCATCAAACAAACCTGCTCCTCTCTGCTTCCTCTCCATCTGCAGGAACCCAGATGGGGATAAGAAGCCTTGGTGCTACACTTTAAACGACGGCGCCATCTCCTGGGAGTACTGCAACGTTCCTTCCTGCCTCCAGCCCGTCTGTGAGTGTGCAAATATTCTGCTTTATGTCTAGAGCAAGCGCATGATATAAACACATTTTTATTTTTATTTTTTTCTGAGGGAACTGTTGACAAGAACAGAGCTGTCTGGTTTACATTTAGAAGGATGTTTTGATATGGACACATTAGCAAACGATGTCAAAGAAGTTTCAGGACAGTCTGAAAAAACACAAAACACATTTTCAGGATGCGATCAAGACTGTATAAAGATTTGGACGTCACCCACTGTGTTCGGCTCCACTCAAATGAAGCTAATGGACAAATGGAGAAAATAGTGAAATGAAAACACCAGGATAATGATGATGAAGATGATAATGCGAACATTTTAAGACCAAAATGACAAGGCTCACTGCAGCACTTACAGAGAGAGAAGCGACAATATTGCAATTTAAGTCAAAGGGAGCCAGGGTCAGTAGCAGCCAGAAGTGAGAACTGAAGATACTACACAGTCTGAAGATCTGTTACTCAAGTTAGACTTTAATCTGAGCTTTAATTTAACACAATCTGACCACAGAGAAATGGTTTAGTTTAGGGTGACCAGTCATACCTATTTACCTGGGACAGTCCCAGTTTTGAGCCCTGTGTCCCTGTCCCAACAGATTTATCAAAAACCATTGATTTGCCACCAGTTTTATACAAGAAATGCCCCATGTGTCCCTATTTTTGACCGAATCTGATACCTGCAAACAAAAACCTAAAAAACTCTCAAGTCTTTGACCTTAAGTCTGAGTCAAGTCCCAAGTCAAATACAGGCAAGTCCAAGCCGAGTCTCGGGTCTGTGGCTCATAAGTCCAAGTCGTCTGCTTTGAGCTTCAAGTCATTTCAAGTTTTAAACCAAAGTAGCTTAGATAAATTGTACTTAAAAAAAATCATAGTATGTTTATATATGAGTATAGAGTATGTAAGAGTTGCAGAAATGTAATTTTCTTTTTTCTTTTTAAATGTCTTGACAAGATCTTAGAGTGAGTCATTACGTTCAGAATAGAAAGAATTCAAATTGCTTCTCAAATCTTCTCAAGTCACAGGCCTCAAGTCCAAGTTGGGTCCCAAGTCTTAGTCCATTTTATCAAGTCCAGTCTCAAGTCCTAAAAATAGTGACTCAAGTCTGACTTGCGTCCAAGTCACGACTTGCAAACCCCCCATCTCTGCCTGCAAACAGTAAAGAGAGGCTTAAAGAGGTCAGTAAAGAGGTAGTTTGTTTAGATAAAATACAGAAAAGCTTATTAAAAATAACCAAAACACAGAGAAAATGTGACTACTGACAATTTTCCTTTCTTACGCACTCGTTTCACAGTTTAATTATTACCAACCATTCCACATCGAGCCAGTTTTTGTTTTTGAAATTCTGGTCACCCTAACTTAGTTGGCACTACAAGATGTGAGATGATTTGTGCGGTTAAACAAGTCTGTCACACATAAAATTACAGTCATAAGATTGCAAGCATCAGCCAACAGTTTTTCAGTTTGCCACATTTTTGTTGAAAATCAATCATGTAAACAAACAGGACCATAGACGCTCGAGTTGATCTCACACTCCCGAAAATGTTTTGTTTAAATTAATTTTGTAGTTTTTCTTTTTCCAGACAATCTTAAAACATTTTTATTAAGTTATTTTTGCCACAACACTGTCCATTTAGAGTGGATTAAGTGTATACTATAAGTTACATTTTTGTATTACGAGCACACTGCCTACCAAGCACCAGTTTTGCAGTGGAGCAGTTGCATCATTTCATTCCTTCTAGTATTTCACTGCTTGCACCCTGCTCGAAGAACTAAAATATGCAGGAACTTGCCTAAAAGAACAACTTCACATTTAATTATAAATCAAAAATTGTGCAAGCCAAAACTGAGACGTTTCACTTTGCTGAGTCACAGTTCTTCAAAAAGTTGGTTCGGCTTACAAGTTTTTTGTTTTTTTTTGAAGGAAGTGGGCTCGGTGAGATCACGGCAGTAGGAGTGAGTCAGGGTGATTCAGTATATCAGGTGCTGCCAAATGTTGATGTAGTGAGTGGGCTCTGGCACAGGAGACCCTCTGTCATGACGCCAGTGGTATGCACACAACTCACCCGAGCATCCATCTGCTGTGTCCCCACTAACATATGATTTTCAGCAAGACAATGCTCCTCCACCTCACCTGTTTATTTTTATTTTTTTCATTAAATTGATTGCATATATACATACACATACAGATTACAAAACATAGGGGTTCAGATTGAAGTTCTTTATAAATTAATAACATCTCCACCTTAACACCATCAGGCTATAAGCTCTATTCATTTGGAAACATGCGATGACATCTTCTGGTAGTAAGTCTGACACAATCTAGGAGAAGTGAGAAAATGACCCAGTTTTCTTCATCTCCATATCATTGTAGCGTTCCGTTATGTTCAGCTAATCAACAGTTACAACCATACCTCAGTTTTCATCATTTCCCCAATGACACACAACTCCGAGCGCAAATTAAGATGATTCCAAAACAGCACATACGTACGCAGTCTTTATTTTATCACTGATGAAATTTAATTCAGTGGGTTTTATCACAGTCGGCAGGCAAGTCCAGTGTCGGTAACTACAGCGGAAGTTGTCATTGCATGTTTCTAAAGGCTATGTTTATATGATGACGGTCTGAACAGAAGACGCAAAAGTGGCGTCGCGTCTTAAATTTTTATTCTGTATATAGATGAGTGTTTTTGAGAGGAAATCTGTGTGCATACAGTGAGGCAAACGTGTGTGGAATTAAATTGGGTATGCGTGCCAAGTGACTAGGTGGTGACACTACGTGGTGATGTATGTAACATAAAAGTGTATACGATGTAAGCAGATCTGACCAGAGTTTTGCATCTTGGCCAGTGTAGACGGAAATATTATGGTGGAGCATATTCAGCTTTTCCACTCTGGAGGGTGGCTTTCAGATTTTTGTCTTTTTAAGCCCCAAAACCGCTGTCACCGTTAAAAAATATTTTGTCATTTTTACCTGCAAGAGTTCTCGTGTAAACAGGCCCTAAACATCTTGCTGGTTTGTGACATAAGCGTGAATAGTGCCTACAGTATTGATACGTTGCAGTGACATTGCACTGGGGGTGTTGTACTTGTAGCTGAAAACACCATGATCACATTAGCAAACACTGGCAAAAAAGTTTTAAGATTTGTCTGAAGATTCAAGAAAAAATGCTAAATGGATTCAAACAACATCTTCAGCAGTTTGTGATCATTATGAGCTTTTGTAGTTCTGAAAACTCTTGGCTAATGCTCTGTGTGAGAGACATGTTTAACAGCACAAGGCAGCTCACCTGCTGTAGTTCCAACTAAGTCAGTTCTCTCGGGTCAGACTGTGTTAAAATAAAGTCTAACTTGAAGAACAGCTGCAAAGGATCAGTACATAGACCTGTGTTAGGACTAATCAAAATCACAATCTGAATGGCCATCATTAGAAAATGGCAAAAGGCTGCAATTATTTAAAGGGAAGATATGACATAAAAAAATCTTTTCTGAACTGTTATCCATGTTGTAACATGTGTTTCCTCAACATTATCTTACTCACAAACGTATTTGGGTTGATTCATGCCTGTTCGAGTGATCCAAAGCTTAAATGCTCAGGAAATGTCTGTTTTTACCTACCCCCTATCTCCGCCCACTGCTCTGTACTTACTTAATTATTGGATGATTTCAGATTTGGAATTACCAATCTCTACTGAACTAAAGGTAAAAGGTAGCTGTTATCTTGAAAACTTCACTACACGACATCACAAGGTGGAACAGAACATTTTGAGCTTTGGAAATGTAGACAGACTAATAATGCATAATTACTTAACTCAAACATGAAACGTGTGAATGAAACACAACTCCAGGTATGTTTTTGATGAGGTAATAATATTATAACATGGCTTAAAGCTCAGAAAAATCCATTTTGTGTAATATATAGGACTTTTAACAATGAACAAAATATAAAATAATAATCTACAGATGCTGAAGTTACTAAACACCTAGAAAAAAAAAAAAGCATAATTTATTCTCTATGTAACATAATGTTCCCTGCCAAAATGTCTCAAGTAAAAATACTTTTGGACAAGCTTAATATGTGCACTCTGAACTGAATCCTAATTTTGATACATAAATTGCAAAATTGCAGTGCTTGTCAGAAAAATTACCATTTGATATTTTTTAGCCCAAGCTTGTGTTTTGCTCTTTCAGGGAAGACTCATCCAGCTGCAAACTTGCAAATGTTCGATAAAGGTATTTAGGAAACAGTAGGATGGTGGTAGTTTAAATTATTACGGTTAATTGTCAAGCTGTTGTTTTCTTTCTCTCTTTTACAGCTTTTTCACGTGGTATAACAAGAATAATTACCAACCGCAAAACTAAAAAGGCACAGTGTGGAACGAAGCATAAGAAGCGTCTGTCGATCGCGAGAGGCCGGATCATGGGAGGCACATCGGCGCTGCCCGGGACCCACCCCTGGATGGCAGCCATCTACATCGGACACACAGAGTTCTGCGCCGGGAACCTCATCGCCTCCTGCTGGGTCGTCTCTGCAGCGCACTGCTTTTTCCGCAAGTACGGACATAAGTACGAACACAATGTGCATGAACATATCCAAACTTATACCATGGTCAGTGAGGATCCCACTGACTGACCTCCACACAAGTAGTCTGGCAACACTTAAATCACATTCTGTAACACAGCTCTGCTTAGGCATGACATCACCATAGCAACGGGTGAACAAATGATCACCTGCTGTGACCACAGAACTATATTAAAATCTGAAGGTGAACCCAAGATGGCACCGTATTGTTTTCAATGGCCTGTGCTCTTCTGCATTTACTTCCTCAATACAGGCGAGCGCTTCATGTGTGACGTCTGTAACGTGCACGGTGTGGAGCATTTGGACCAATCAGAGCAAGAGCTGCTAAAGCGCAGCTAGCGCAGGCTCAGAGCAGGTTCAGAGCAGGGCTAGGCTAAGTCTTACAAAACTTAAAAAAATAAAACAAAATGTATGTTGTGAAAATAAAAAAGAATCCCTACAAAATCTGACCTTTGTGAAAGTTGTGGATGCCCTGTGTGTTGTGTTGTGCTTCTATGGGAGAATTCTTTCTGGGTCCAAGCTCCAGGGAGTTGCAGTACCTGGAGCGGCCACTAGTCGGACTCGAGCAGGGAGAGAAGAGGAGTGCCTTATCCAGTTTTTATTGTAGATCTATGGTAGTGACTAGCATGATTTAAAACACTGATATTTTAGACATTTACAGACAGTGAACAGGCTTTTCACATTTACAAGTGAGAAAGTTCAGTTTGTAGGTGTGGTTTCAGCACATTACACAACTTGGAGTTGTGCATTAACGAACTGCTCCTCGTTGTTTAATGTTTACATATCACTGCTCTCTGGCCATCGCCATGACATCACCACAGCAATGGATAAATGCGTCCTCAAAAAAATCGCTTTTGCTTATGTATGCTCACAAAGTTTATGTTGAACTTTGTGCCAGTTTTTGTTTCCTGTGGATATTTCCAGCAGTTACAGAGAAATGAACCATAAACCAGGTCACCAAATCAACAATCTGACTTTAATTAAACAGCAAATTAAACCACAGAATTGTGACCTGTGCTCCAGCTCAATGTTAAGCTATAGTGAATCTAGGATATTATGAACATAACAAATTGATACTTTGCAGCTGATATGATCAACATTCATTGGGTGGTTGATGCTAACAGGAGGCACTGCCCTGTCTGAAGCTCTATTACTCAAACATGAGTTGACCATAAAGAACTGACCTGTACTGTTAAACAAGTTCCTCTCAAATAACATTACAGTGTTTGAGTTTGTCACTCTCACCTTTTCGTTGAAAATCAAACACCTAAACAGGACCATGACTTCTTGTATCGATCACAGGTTCCCAAAAATGTGCTGTTAATAAACATTTTGTATTTTTCCTTGCGTTTCAGACCATTTAAAACATATCTCATAAGGAGGTAACCGAAATATCGTGATATTGTATTGTCGTATCGTGGGCTGTCACAATATATCGAATTACAAGTTTGTTTGCTTAAATACATGGTTTTATAGTAGCAACAGCTCATAAACATAGAGAACTACATATCCCATGATTCATTTCAGTGCAAACAACATGAAGAAATATGTTTTTTACTTGAATTCTTGGGATTATGATGGAAATAAGTCACACCAGAATCTTAATCATATCGTGATAATATCGTACCATAAGATTTGGATATTGTTACATGCCTAGTGTCTAATGTTTTCTCTAATGTGCGCATTGTGTCACCATGATAACTGCTGAACATTACGGCATAGACATATATGCAGTACAGCCCCAGAGTGATATCATTGCATGCATCAATCATTAAACTAGATGCTAGAATAGAATAGAAATGAAATAGAAAAACAACAAAGGAATTCTTGAGGTCTATTGTCTATTTTCCTCTCAGCATGCTGCAGTAGAAGTATAGTTCACCTGGCATGCAGTTTAAAGACTTTGACCCCTTCAGCTTTATGAACGTGCTATATTTAGACAAGCATCCAGTTCGAGGAAAACCTGAAAGCCTGACACGCACCCAGATGCCCTTTACATAAGAATGAATATGTTTCCCTGTGATGTCAATAAAGAGACACCTCCGCTCGCTTTGTTTAACGTGAAAGAGTCTTATAGAAAGCTGATGTTACGTAAGAGCAATCTATTCTGAGAGTGTGGGAGATCTACCTCGGAAAATGTTTTGCTCTTGATTAAAGATAGATCGATATATCAGCCAACTGATATTTGCACTTTTTAACATAGCGGCTATCGGTCTTAAATCTCCAGCGCAGGTCGATATTTAGCTTCGACCAACCAGCTGCCTGAAGAACACGCATAAAGCTTTATTTGAACACTTAACTACGAAGAGGACACTGCAAAATACAAAATGTGACTACACACAGTGCTCTGATACAGTTTGTAGTAAAACAAGTTTGTGGCTAAATTCAATCGGGCAAAAAATATTGGCCATCATATATATATATATATATATATATATATATATATATATATATATATATATATATATATATATATATATATATATATATATATATATATATATATATATATATATTATATATATCACATTTTCCTCTCATTGTTCAATCTCGGTTTTGAATTTAATGTTATTTAAATACTTAAATATATCATTAAAATGGCAGTACTGATTTCATGACCAGTGCCATTTTAAATATAAAGATCAACCAATCTCTACCTCCAAAGTCTGAACTCTGCCCCAAATCAGATTTTCACTGAAGATGTCTGATTACAAAACAAAACAACAACAAAAAACACAAGCATATGATTGATAAAAAGAAATGACTGATTGAATTTTGATACAAAATTCTAGTCTTGGTTTAGTCCTGTTCTAGTTTTGGTTTAATCATGGTTTAGTCCTGCTTTAGTCCTAGTCTAGTCCTGGTTTAGTCATGGTTTAGTCCTTGTTTAGTTCTGGTCTAGTCCTGGTCTAGTCCTGCTTTAGTCCTGGTTTAGTCCTGTTCTAGTCCTTGTTTAGTCCTGTTCTAGTCCTGGTTTAGTCCTCTTCTAGTCATAGTTTAATCCTGGTTTAGTCTTGGTTTAGTCCTGTTCTACTTCTGGTTTAGTCCTGTTCTAGTCATAGTTCAGTCCCGGTCTAGTCCTGGTTTAGTCCTGGTCTAGTCCTGGTTTAGTCCCATTCTAGTCCTGGTTTAGTCCTGGTCTAGTCCTCGTTTAGTCGTTGTCTAGTCCTGGTTTAGTCCTGCTTTAGTCCTCTTCTAGTCCTGGTTTAGTCCTAGTCTAGTCCTCGTTTAGTTTTATTCTAACTCTGGTTTAGTCATTGTCTAGACCTGCTATAGTCCTGTTCTAGTCCTGGTTTAGTCCCGTTCTAGTCCTGGTTTAGTCCTGGTCTAGTCCTCGTTTAGTCCTTGTCTAGTCCTGGTTTAGTCCTCTTCTAGTCCTGGTTTAGTCCTAGTCTAGTCCTCGTTTAGTTTTATTCTAACTCTGGTTTAGTCATTGTCTAGACCTGCTATAGTCCTGTTCTAGTCCTGTTCTAGTCCTGGTTTAGTCCTGGTCTAGTCCTGCTTTAGTCCTGTTCTAAACCTCTTTTAGTCCTCTTCTAGTCCTGGTTTAGTCCTAGTCTAGTCCTGGTTTAGTCCTGTTCTTGTCCTGCTTTAGTCCTGTTGTAGCTCTGGTTTAGTCATTGTCTAGAACTGCTATAGTCCTGTTCTAGTCCTGGTTTAGTCCTGGTTTAGTCCTAGTCTAGTCCTGGTTTAGTCCTGTTGTAGCTCTGGTTTAGTCATAATCCTTGTTTAGACTTTTTATTTATTAATTTATTTTTTCTTACAGCCCATTGATATCGCAGATCCGAGTGGTGTTGGGACAGCACAGATTCAATGTCACGGATTCAAACACTAAAACCTTCAGCGTGGAGAAGTACATCTTTCCCAAAAAGTTCTCCGTGTTCAACCCAACGGTGCATGACATTGGTAATTACTGGACACTTGGATATACAGGAGTGAGTCATACAAACTTGAAGACCTCTTGTCCACTTTGAGAAACCACAAACTCACTCAAGAAGGGGATTTTCGGCGCACAGCTGTGGACTTCAACAGCTGTGCCCCCTCCACGCCAACAAATGCACGTATCAACACACACAGTCATAGAGCAGTGTGGCATTTTCATGGGCCGAAGGAGTCTCGGAGTCTAGCGCTTGACATTTAAAGTGGAACAAAACAAGAGCAAAACACTTTTTCCGTTTCTAAACAGTTTCTAAACAGCATTATCTTCTGTTCTTAGTTATTTTTTGGCAACTTTAGTACAAACTTGGTCAATTTGCAGCTTTCTGGTCAAAACGCTTAAATCCAAGTATGTCCTTCCTTCAGTGGCCTTTGCAATTTCAAGTAGTTGGTGACATCACGCAGCACTGGCCTGATTACAGTCACATGTTTCTGATTACAAACATCAGGCTGCAGTGGTAGAAGTGTTGGTACCTGTTAGACCAATCACACTGCTCCTTAAACCTCCAGACCGACCCCACTCCTCTCTCACTCTCACTCGTAATTTTTCTCATTGACATTCTGAAGAAAAAAATAATATTAAAAGTTCGAAACCTTGCTCAGAATAATATGCTACATATTAACTAATGACCACAAGACATATCATTTTTTAATTTAAAATCTGTTCTTTATAAACGTGGCCTTTTTGGACATAAAACAACTGTATTATTATTATTAGGATATTAGTTATCATGTAGCTGCTTAGCTTTCATTTTGTACTCTTAATATTTAGATTTTTTAAAAAGACTATAGGAAAAAATGAATAGAAAATTTACTTCCAGAACCAGAGCAAGCAGTCCCGGTTGAGCTCCATTTGCAATGTGGGTGTGTTTGGAGTTTAGGTGTGTAGTCCCACATTAAAGATTTATTTTATTTTTTTTCATATTTATGTTTGTGTCAGTTCTCTTAAAGCTGAAGAAGCAGGACGGCCGCTGTGTGAGGAAAACCCCTTTCATCCGGCCCATCTGCCTCCCAGACAAAGGCATGACGTTCCCCGACGAATACTGCTGCAGTATCAGCGGCTGGGGACACATACGTGAGAGTATGTGACACATCCAACTTAAACACCACATTCAGACCTCACATACAGATACCCTTTATGGATTATGGATTTAGGGATTTATTTGTTATTTTTACTGACTGTAGTTACTGTATTTTCCGGCCTATTAGGCGCTCTGGATTATAAGGCGCACCATCATTAAATGGTCTGTTTTCTAACTTTTTTCACAAATAAACTGCACTGGACTTTAAACGAAACACAACAGTCAGATGGGTCAGTGGGACTTTGTTTGGCAGGTTCACGGTGACTCTGGGCTTTGTTCAATTGTGGCATGTAGGGAGGGTGCTGTCTGGGACCGCTGGATCGTTGACGTGTTCACAGTGTCTCAGTTGTTCAGTTGTGTCTAGAAGTGGCACATTGCACTCACTTTTTCGGTTCATTCCTCCATTCTGTTCCTCGTCGGCGTGGAGTGATGAGTGTGGCTGTGGGTGTTTTTCGCTGTGTGGTCACTGTCTGCTCCGTGCGTGTTTGCGTGCGCAGCGGGTGGTGCGGTTTTGTAGTTTACTGAAGTCACGCTGGGACACCCGAGTGGATTCGTGTATAGGGCGCTCTGGATTGTGGGGTGCGTGGTCATTTTTTGATGGGGTTGGAGGCTTAAGAGCGCGTCTAATAGCCCGGAAAATACGGTAGTTAAAGGTCCTATATTAGACAAAACTGACTTGACTGAATTGATTGTTGTTACCTCAGCAACTCCAAAACTAGAGTTATGTTTTGTTTCATTCACACATGTTTGACCTTTTGTTCTATTGAGATGGGCAATTCTACGGCTGAAATTATCCAATTATCCTAGTGTGGGTGTATGATGTTTAAAAAACACAGTGGAGGACTTCCTGTATTACCACAGGACATCACAAGGAACACAGTGTTTTCAGCATGCAGGGTTTGTGTGTTAAACATGTGTGAATGAAACAAAACACAACTCCAGATCTGTTTCTGAGGCCGTAACAACATTTTAACATGGCTCAATACTATATAGGGCCTTTAAAGAGGCTAATTATTGAAGTGTAACTAACATGATGATGATGCTGTAGTGGCACTTGTGGTAACAGGGCTGTTTCTTGCCAGAGGCTGAGGGCTACACTGGTTTACAAGAGGCCATGGTGAGGCTCATCCCTCATGAAGTATGCAGAAAACCTCAAATCTACGGCAACCATGTCACACCGGACATGATCTGTGCAGGGCTCAACGGCTGCGCAGACGCCTGCCAGGTAAAACAGCACTGACATGAATACAGGGTTACAAGCTCACTCTGCAATTCAGTCCATTCAGTATGTGACATGATGTTTGAATGAGCTGTCTGTCTGACTGAGGTGAACTGTGCAACTTTTCTGGTAGAGGGTCTGCTCCCTGCTTGTCTGCACAGAGATGTTATTACTTTGCCTGGAATGTTCCATGGTATTAAACACATTTATCTAATATTTATTCATTAAGGGGCCAACGAGTTAGTTTTAAAGCGCATGGCTTTGGGTCGGGTCCCAAGATTTGAGCCCAGTTCTTCGGATTGGGTGGTTTGGGTTGGATTTTTATCTTGGTTTGGGGCGAGTAGGTCAGAAAAAAAGATGACTGACACATCATTACTCCCTCGTGATAAATGTTGATGATGAATTAGATAGCGGTTATTTTAAGGAGACAGTGTTACTGATGAAATGTTGTTGATAGAGATGGTCTAATATAAATGGTTTCTTTAATGTATTTTGTAACTGCCCAAGGACAAGTAGCTTGTAGCTAAATCTGGCACAGAGCTTTCTTTTCTCTCAAGATTAATGTTTTCTGTGCACTGTCCTTGTTTTAAACAAATAAATAAATGAATAAATAAAAAACTAGAAGAACTACTAGAAATGTTACACATTACTGGACCAGCTGTTTATAAAGTTCTAGTTTTCCAGATGAAATAAGTGTATACTCATTTATGGCCATTTTACTTCTGCAGTTTATATGATAGCAATATGATAAGGCAAAATGTAAACAAACATCTTTCACTTCATTGTCATTACATTTGAATTTGGCTCATGACATTTTCTGACCGTAAAATCCATGGCAGTTGTTGACCCTGTGCTGTGACTAACAAAGGTTGGTATTAAACTTAATTGAGTGTAACAGTATAATGGAGCTGCACTTAGAAAGAAGATATTTGCAGACCACTCACTTGAGCTGGAGAATCAAACATCCACTCTTAAATGAAATGCCAGAGTTAACAGTTTGTCTCTGGGGAAGGCTAAATCTTCATTAATAGCTCATGTTTTGTGTGACTCAGCTGTTTGTGCTTTGATCGCTGTGCTGTAAGTTTATATCTGCAGACATAGGCACGCTCCTCATCTGTGCTTCTCCCCAGGGCGACTCCGGGGGGCCTCTGGCTTGTGCAAAGGGTGATGTCAGCTTCCTGTATGGGATCATCAGCTGGGCAGACGGCTGTGGACGCAAAGATAAACCAGGAGTCTACACCAGAGTGGTCAACTACATCGACTGGATCGACTCAGTGATTGGACGGAAAACCAACAACTGATGAACAGACTTTTGAGAGACTCTAGTGATTCTTAAATGACTTTTGTGCTATAATATTATTCCTCTGTATTTTTATTTAGCTTATCATTTTTATACTGTGAATAAACTATGGTTATTTTTATTGTCTAAAAAATGAATTCTCTATACAGTTACTTTGGTTTGCTTGGTTATGATAGAGGCCTTCTACAAAAAACATTTTATTACATTACGATGAAGAGTTCACTGATTGGCTGCGCGCATATATTTCCCAGGGGCAGCAGGTGGTCTGGGACTGCCCAGGTGGGGTTGTAACGGTTAGTGGGTGGACAGTCCATGGGACAGACAAACAAGCTGCCTGTCATGCCATTTTCCATGTGCCGAGCTGGGGGCGAGTTTGCGCCTCGCGAACCAAGAGCACAGCTATTTTGAAAGTGACCCCTCAGTCAGGCAGCGCCTCTGCAGCTGTCAGGAACCATGACTGAAGATGACGGATTCTGTGGTCGTGGAGGGATATGCCAGACTCAGAGACGGGAAAAAGGTCCTTATCAACTATAGAAATGTCCATGGATTTGGAACTATTCATTTTGCTCACTAAACTCAATTAAAAGTTTGTGCACTTTTGTTTGTTCTGCAGTGGAAAACTAGGTGGATCGCCCTCCGCAAACCGTCGCCTGTAGCAGGTAAATCCTATCCCGTTATTGTACGCAATTGTGACACATCAGTGTTAAGTTTTGATCAAGTCTGCTGTGCACGTGCTTGGCTGTTGCTTTGTGCGTAAACAAGTGCGCACGTAAACTGCGTCACGCAGATAGCGCTAATATTTCTGACGTTTGATATCGTGTGTGAGTTTGGAGAAGGAGGTAGTTTGACGAGGCAGGTCAGGCCTGTGTTTTCTACAATGAAAATTAAATCTTACCTTTTAGTGTCCTTTTTTTTACAAAAGAGGACAGTTATGAACTTCTGCTTTTGCTTCGCGCATGACCAACCCCAGCTTAAATATGTTTCAGCTCCTGTAGAAAGTCTGGCTGCAGTGGAGAGTTTTCTGGGGCCGTAGAGCCCCACATTCCGCACAGGTTTGACTGTGATCCCGCATCTTTGATGTCGCTGTTAGCACAGCTGTCTGCGCTCATACCTCAGCTATGCGCATTAAGAATCGTGTGAAGGAGAGCGAGCGCACTCACTCGTGTTTGGTCAGTTGACACTCAAAGTTGCCAAAAGTACTAAAGGTCCTGATGACCGCCGCTACATTTCAATTACACTTTTTCAAAGTTCAAATTGAAAACAAAACTACAATTTGCCCGCATCTTTACATCCAGGCTCTAATGCTGTTTGGGCTAAATGTACAGAAACAATCAGAGACCGCAGCTGTATCGGACTCATCTTTCAGCAGCAGTGGGTAGAGATTGTGCAACCACCTCTTCTTCTCCAAACAGACACACCGATGAGTGCTTGTCTAAGTCCAGTTTATATTTCCCATGTCATGTCCAGAATGTAAATGTGTAATGTGATCTCACGTCTGGATGTCCACAGATTGCCTCGTGCTGCTGGTTTATAAAGACAAATGTGAGCGGACCCAGGGGAGCAGAGAGAGGGCCTGTGTGACCCTGGAGGATATCTGTGGTGTGGAGACTGGACAGTGTTTTGAGGGCGCTGCTTTCACTCTGACCATCCTCTGCCTGAACCAGTGTGCTCTGCTCGGGTTCGACTCCAGAGAGGTTCTGCTGGGATGGGAGGCCCGGCTCAGATACAGCCTGGGGGAAGGTAAGCCCCAAACTAACCCCTCATACCTCTCTTTTTTATACTTCTGCTGACTACCACTGCTTCATGTGGCACAAGCAACACAACAGATTAGGTAATATAATAGTATCCAGTAGTAGTACTCAGTCACATTTACTTTAGTAACTTTTTAAAGAAATTGTACTTTTCAGAGTACTTTTCTAGCAGCATACGTTTACTCCTACTTATTTTTTATTGAAAAGTACTCTTACTTCAGTAAAACATTTGGTTCCTCTTCCCACTATGAGTAAGTCTACAAGTGACAAAAGCTTTATGTTGATTTATGTATTTATGTATTAAATGATTTGAACATTCGTGTTTCAGATATGATTTAGTTTTTCTAATTTCTCATTCATCTGTCCTTTTGAAAATACCAGGATTTGTGTGCTATTTGTCCAAATACTGTTTTATTCTTACTTTACTAGTTTCTTGGACCATTACTTTGTACTTCTACTAATTTTATTTTGAATTATTGTTACTCTTACTCATACAGTTTGCGGCTGATGTATCCACCTCTGAGTATCTCACAGTGCAGAGTTTTATCAAACCCGCAGGAAAAACAAAAAGTCAAAAGTTGATTCCTGTATGCCTGGTTTATTCTTCAGTCCTCAGTGATAAATAAAGTAAAGAGGTATAATATTATAGTGGAGAGTTGCAGCTTGTTGGTGAGAGGTGTGTAATATATAATATAATAAACGCCTTTACAGGTAAATACAGTTTGACTCATGCTTTATTTAAGGGGAACAGTTTCTCTAAAGATAAAGTATTACATAAAACAACTCCCTACACTCAGTGAAGACAAACAAATGATAGAAAATCATATAATCTCAATCATATTAAATCTAATCTGTAATCTTTCTGGTGAAGGGTCAGTCACTTGCTTGTCTCCATGGAGATGTTATTGCTTTGTCTGGAATATTCCGCATTATGGGATTAATTTATCTGTCTACCCAAAGCAAAGTGTCAAAACTGAATGAAGGCAAATAAATCACAGAATTACTACAGGTGCATTATGTAATTTTTCTGGTGGAGGGTCCATCACTCTCTAGTCTCCATGGAGATGTTATCGCTTTGCCCGGTATGTTCGCTTTGCGCAGTATGGGATTAAGTGATCTGTCTCAAGTTTTATGTTAACTTTTTTTTAATGTTGCGCCAGGAAGATTAAACTAAAGATACACTACCAGTCAAAAGTTTGGACTCACCCTCTCGCTCAGTGTTTTTTTATATATATTTACAACTTTTTACATTTTATATACATACAGAAGACATCAAATATATGAAATAAGATCTATGGAATCATGTAGCAAAGAAAAAACAAGTGAACAATCCTCTAGTATATATTCTTTAATAATTTATAACCAAATCCTCAATTTAGTGACCCTTTGCTTTTATTTAACTTTTTCTTACTTCTTACTAAATAATTCCATGTGTCTTCCTTTATATATTTGATGTTTTCTGTATGCATATGTTTGTTTTTACCTAAAATATCTTAACAATGAATAAGGAGGGGGACCAGGATAAGCTTTTGCCTTCATTCTACTGCTTCTCAAACTCATTGTGGCTTGTTAAATGCTGCAGTTGATCATGTTCTGTGTAATTCATTCATTTCATATCAAATGTAACGATAGGAAAAAAAAAGAAAAGAGAGAGCGTGTTCAAACTTTTGACTGGTAGTGTAGCTTTTTTTTTAATAACCAAAACAAAAAAAACACTGCACCATTATCTCGAGCTGGAGGCCAGTTTCTAACCAAATGTGAAAGGCTGTCTAATGGTCTGATGGAGCATTTGGAGATGTGGAGACGCAGAGCGCACACTCACACTGCTCTGTTTTGTTTTGTTCTTGTGTTCGTGTGAAGTCAAAATGCTCCCTGTATGTATCACCACGTCCACCTGTGTTTTCAAATGCTGTCAGTGTCTGTGTGTGGCCCCTGACAGTGGAGAGGGGCCAGTGTTTCACCTGCCAGCCCGGGCCCCCTGCCACTGTCCACACTGCTTTTATTGTGCCCTGTCACACCAAATAAATCTGTTACAACTGAGTGATGACGAGGGACACATGGTCAAGCTTTCCTCACTGCTGCCTCTCAAAGGTTTCACCTGTCAGGTCTGAATTAACTCTACAGAATTTCATGTTGATTTTGTGTAAGTTAATTGAAAAACTCTGAATGAACTTTAGCTGTCTGCATAGCAAGTTTAATTATAGAGTTATGTGAGAAAATACCTGTTTTGTTAAAAGTGGTGAAAGTAATGGAGCGCAACAGTGCAATCGTTCTGGTTCAGGAAGTAAATTTTCCACAGAGATCCATCTCCGTGATCTTTTTGCTAGTAGAGTTTATCTCTGGTGCATGTTTTGGGTGAATGTGTGAAACCGGAGTGCCTGGAGGAAAGGCCTGGAAATCGATGGGTGATAAGATGAAGATTATTTTCCCCCAGTTATCTCATTTGAATGTAGTACAGACTCATCCATGTCCGTGTTTTACTACAAACTGGAGAGTCACGTTTTGTGCACTGACCTCTTCATAGTAAAGCGTTCAAATGAAGCTTTATAGTTTGTCTAAACAAATTATGAGCCTCTGTTGGTAATTCAAAGCTGATGTGCTAAAAAGTGCAAATATCGGTCTATCTCTGTTATCATTTCAAGGTCCTATATTATACAAATGCTGTTACCTCGTCAAAAACATACCCAGAGTTGTGTTTTGTTTCATTCACACATGTTTGAATAATCCTGGTTTATTAGTCTTTCCACATCTGCAAAGCTCAAAAGGCTCTGTTCCACCTTGTGATGTCATGAAGTGGTAGTTTTCAAGTTCAGCTCCTTTTACCTTTAGTTCAGTAGAGACTGGAAATAATCCAACTGATTCTAATGAAGGTGTATGGAGTATAAAAACACAGTGGAGCACTTCCTGTATTACCACATGACATCACAAGGTGGAACAGAGTTTTTTTTCTGTTTGAGAGATGAACTCAGCCTAAATATGCAGGATTTGTGAGTTAAACGTGTGAATTAAACAACACACAACTCCAGATCTGTCTTTAATGAGGAAACATCATTATAGGCTGTATCAGAAAACAGCCTCGTACACATGGGTCTCTTTGCTCTTCCACTTTAATTGGCCACAACCAAAGTTTAAGACAAAGAAGTTATTGAATTGTTCTTTAGTTCAGAGACAGCTCAGGGATTTCCCTCCAGCTGTTTGCAGCTGTTTGTCTGAGTCAGTGCAGTGAACAGTTTGTAACTCTATCTGCATGTTAACCATCTATTTGCCCACAACTCTGCCATTACATATTCTGACCACTAGGGGTCACACGGCAACGGGGCTTTTCATGCCGCTTCAAAGCCCAAATAAATGAAGAGAACAGCTAAAGACCGCACACATGGTTGTGGATTATATCCTACAAACATGAGATTTTTGTAAACAACACTTACATTTACAACAACACAATGTGACGTCCCCTTTTTTTTCTCCTTTCTTGCAAACCTTCCCCTCCTGCAATTGTCTCCAGAGGGAAGAAAAAATGAATAAAAAAAATAAATAATTAGAATAAATAAATAAATGAGTAAATAAAATAAATAAATATAGGGTAAACCTGATTGTTTGAATGGCATTTATGGTTGCACATACTGCTATTGTAGTCTTAGTAAAGTTTCACTGATGTTGATGTTGTTCTGTCCATTCTGTATATATTTTGTATTTAAGTTCTTATTTTATGCAAATCTTTTAGTTACATTTAGCTATTATTAGTCTTGGCAATAAAACTATTCAGAAGTTAAAATTATCTTTGTCCTGTGTTTAGTCCATAGGTTCTGTGTGGTGGTTTTGCCTGGGACCAAGTTGGAGAGTGGGCCTGCGACTCTTCACCTGTGCAACAACCTGCTGGCTCTGGCTCGGGAGGTCCCACCCGTCATCATCGGACACTGGAACCTCCCAGACCTGCGCCGCTATGGACCAGTGCCCAATGGATTTGTGTTTGAGGGAGGCACCAGATGTGGATACTGTAAGTTTAATAATAACTTATTGACGCAGTTAAAACATAATTTGTCTTAGAAATGTATATATTAAAGGTCCTATATTACACAAATTGACTAGTGTGAGCTTCAAGCTGGATTCCCACACTTTTTCACTGACAAAATTTCAAAACCTTTCCATGACTTTTTGACCTAAAGTGAATTTTCATTGACTTTACAGCACCTGCATGTGTAGAATTGATCATACTTTTAGGGCTAAATATGAAACGTTAACCCTTTCCACTTACCTTATGGTTTGGTTGGTTGCTTATGGTTCAATGCATTTATTGTCGTCTCTTTAAAACACAAGGCGCATACATTTGGAAATAATCATAATAGCCAAATGATAACTTAACAGATCGCTGTAGTTGTGTGAAAAAGATACTAAAATTCAGTGACTTCAAACGTCAAAGCTTTCATTGAATTTACAAAATTCCATGACATTTCCAGGCCTGGAAAATTACATTTTCAATTTCTATGACTTTTCTAAGATTTTTATGACCGTGGGAACCCAGTTTAAGCCATGTTAAAATGTTACTTCCTCAAAAACAGACCTGAAGTTGTGTTTTGTTTCATTCACACATGTTTCAGTAATCCTTTATTATTAGTCTGTCTACATGTCCAAAGCTCAAAATGCTGTATTCCGAATTGTGATGTCATGAAGCGGTTGTTTTCAAGTTAACAGCTCCTTTTACCTTTAGTTCAGTAGAGACTGGAATTTCCAGGTCTGAAATTATCCAAAAGATTCTAGTTTGGAGTTCAGAAACACAGTGAAGCACTTTCTGTATTCCCATATGACATCAAAAGGTAAAAATATGCTAAATATGCAGGTTTGTGTGTTGAACATCTGTGAATGAAACAAAATAACTCACAAACAAATTTGGGCCCTTTAATCCAAAAACCTGTTTATCTCTCATTTACTGAATGATAATCCTGTATAGTAATCATTGTGCCACTTGGCCACTACCACACGGAAATTTAGAAATTTTTTGTGTGTCAAAAGGAAAATAGAATGACGTTTTTGCCTGTATTTGTTCATTAGGGCAGTACGTACATGTGGGAGTTGAGTTTTTGTGTGCCTCTCAAATACATGAAATAATCAGCAATGGAGAGATGAATCACGGCTTTGAGTCAATAGTGAAAGAGAGAGGGGGATGAACAGATTGTCCTAGTAAAATAATGTAGCTGTGTCTATGGGAGAATGAAGTGGGCATCCAGAGTGACAGATTTGTATTGAATTTGTTGTAGATGGCATCATTGTGTTGTTTTGATAGAGACACTCTAAACCTAAAAGTTTTTCAGTTTTAAATATTGCTCGCGCAGTTAAATTTGCGATTGATGTACATGTTCAAGAATCAGTTCAAAGTTGGGTTGTGTAAACTACAGAAAATCATATACTAATCACTAGTATCGAAACAAAATACTGAATTGAGCAGATATTGATACTGAAAATGCTGCATTCACAGGACAAAAATGAACCTTTCCTGAATAGTTTTTGAGATGTATCAGAACAAATATAAGAGCACATAGACTAGTATACACTCATGGAGCACTATAGACCCTACCTGGACGCCTGAGGGATTACACAGATAAAAGACCACATGGGAATATAAAAGAAAGTACTATGGTTTAAAGGTGCACTGTGTAACTTTTTGTTGGGGGTCCGTCACATAGCCAGGCTGGTGCCACCTAGTGCCTCCGCTCAATTTCATTTCTCTCCAGCCACTAGGTCAGGAATCAGAATACACTAGATGATTTGCAAGAACCCCAGAAATTGTAGAGCATGCACCGGCCAATCAGCAAAGAGCTGTGAAGCCATCAAACTCAAGCGCCTGTCTGGGTCCCTTTTGTGGAACAGCACAACAGTAAACAAAGAGGTCAAGATGGATGTAGATGAAGCCATACATTCTGTGTTGGCAACGATTCCCGAGATCGAGGATTTAAAGTTGGACAAAGAGAATGTTTGGTGAATTTTATGAAAGGGAAAGAAGTTATTGCCCTTCTTCTTATGGGATTTGGCGCATTACACACGTCACGACCAAATAGCAGCGATTGGGTAACTAAAAAAATACCCGCCTACCGTCGAGTGAATGAATCCTAATGCTGCGAGGTCAGACGGTTTCTACGAAGTGAAACCGGCTGATGAATCTGGCTATCCGCCACCTGCTTGTTTCTATGTATATTTCATTGCTCTGCCTGGATTGTTCCAAAGTATGACACAAAACAGCTCTACCTAACATTTATTCAATTACGGTGGTTTTATGCCACACTGTGAAACATTCCAGACAAAGCAATAACAACTCCATGGACAAGCATTTGACGGACCCTTCACCAGAAAAGTTACACAATGCACCTTTAATGTTTTGTTTTTTTTAATCATCATTGTGGTTTTGGAATCAGTATTGAGTTTTGAGTCTGTTTCTTAGTATTGAAATAGAGTTTGAGAATTTAATATCATAACAACATTAGTTCACAGTTAAACTTTTCTATTCATACAGGTTCATTGAAGGCACGCTTTGAACACTTTTGGTGTTAATTCTGCTACCTGCTTGTCTCCATGGAGATGTTATAGCTTTGCCAAGAATGTTCCCACTATGATGCTAAATATAACTTTATGCAATCATTCAATTATGTGTGTTTTATTGCTCAAAAAATACACTGAGAAATGTTCTTACTGTGCACTGGATCACCTCTCCAAAGATCTGACCTGTTGCTGATCTGGAGACACACCCTTCTCTTCTTGTCTCCGAGGAGTTAGAACATTTTAATGCCATAATGTGGAAAATTGGTGGTAAAGCACGTTACATGGTGCACCTTTGACATTCAAAAGAAATTGGAACATAAACGGCTAATAATAAGACAATACTGACTTATATAATTCATGAATTATTATAGTGATAGACATTTTGCTTCTCAAAACAACCTACAACATTAAAGGTGAATCCGTGTATCATTTGTTCATTCATTTTTCAAAATAAAACCAATAAGAAAACGAAAAAAACAACAATTTTCTCTATTATTTGTCTCCAAAACCAAAATGAAAAAACTGATAACGATTTTTTTTTTTTTCAACGGATAATGACCGTTTCCCGTTTCCGTGACTTAAACTGCGATGCCGGATTGAACCAGGACTGAACCAGGACTAAAACAGAACTAAAACAGGACTGAGTGTCGGGATGAGCCCCAGGACTGAAACCGGCACTGAGATCGGGACCAGACCAGGACCAGGACCAGACTGGGACTGAGACTGGGACCTGTTTTAATCCTGGTTCAGTTCTGGTTTAGACCTGGTTTAGACCTGGGATCAGTCCTGGTTCTGTCCTGGTTCGGTCCCAGTCTAGTCCCAGTCTAGTCCTGGTCTGGTCCTGGTCTCATACCTGATCACCTGTCAGTCTGCGCGGACCACCTCCGAGCCTGTCCCAACACTGAGTCATGTTTTAGTCCTGTTTCAGTCCGATATCGCAGTTTAAGTGACGAAAACGAAATGAAACGAAACTGCCATTATCCATTTTTATTCATTTAAACAAAACAAAAAAAAACAGATCGTTATCAGTTTTCTGCATTTTGGTTTTGGAGACAAATAATGAAGAAAATTGTTTATTTTTTTCATTTTCTTATTTTTGGTTTTATTTTAAAAAATGAATGAACAAATGATACACGGATTAAGGTGCACTGTGTAACTTTTCTGGTGGAGGGTATGAAACCTTTCTAGCTTCATGGAGACCAAACCAGGCCAAGTTACAGGTCAGATCTGTGGAGAGACAACCCCGCTCACAGTCAGAATGTCTGTTTTTTCGAGGTATTTTGAGCTACAAAACCATCTGTAATTGAATAACTGCAAAGTAGAGCTGTTTAATGTCATACTGTGGAACATTCCAGGCAGAGCAATGACATCTCCATAGAAACAAGCAGCCAAAAAGTTACATAGTGCACCTTTAAACCTACAACATTAATCAGTGGTTGGATCATATTTCTTTTCTTCTTTATGATGTGGAGTTTCTGTCGGCTGTGGCTGCTGTCAACAGGCTGCTCCACTCATGAATCATTTATGTGTCTGAAGATTTATGGAGGAACAAATACAGAATAATTTGACAGCAGATGTTTGAATATTGTAATCTATTTAATGTGTAATGGGCTGTCTATTCACACTTCATTACAGTCTATTAAGCTCCATTTTGATGCTGTCTGTCCCTACAAGTTTCAGCCATTAGAAGTTTTAGTCCAATTTCCAACACAGGGACCAGTTTATGTCACGTCCCTCTACTTTCTTTTATTTCTCACATCTGGACTCTCAACAGCATTTATGAAGCACAGAAAGTAGGATTTTATATTCTTTTATTTGAAGTTTGCCCGTTTGCAGATGGTACCGTGCAGTTGTATCTCCGTTTGTCCTTGAGGAAAATATGTGTTATAAACTTTTATGAGGCAGCAGCTAATGGACAGACTTCTGCATCTGCCCCACAGCTGGGCCCCAGTATGTTTTTATTACCTTTTATTTGATATTTTTGATTAGGATTCACTCTGGTCAAAAGGCATTGCAGTATTGGCAGAACATATTCACGGTTGTCCTGCACCAGCTGAACACATTAATAAGTTGAGTTCATGGACATCATAACACATATTTCTTTAAAGGCCCTATTACGCAAAATGGACTTCTGTAAGCTTTTAACCATCTTAGACTTTTGTTACCTCATCAGAGACACACCTGGAGTTGTGTTTTGTTTCAGTCACACATTTGAGTAATCCTGCATTTGTGGTAGTTTTTAAATTGGCGACTACCTTTACCTACAGTTCACTACAGAGATTTGCTATTCTAGGGCGGAAATCATCCAAATGATTCTTATGAAGGTGTTTGGAGTCTTAAAACGCAGTCGAGTATAGGAGTGTGGTAAAATATTGAAATATCAAGCAAGGCAAGTTTATTTGTATAGCACAATTCAATTTGTACACAAAGTCATTCAAAGTAGTTTCCAGAATAAGAAATACATTAACATCACAATAAAAACAAATCAAAACATAAGTAATCATCATAAAATTAAAAAGAGGGAGATATTAAATGAGAGAGAAGAGTGTGGAATGAAAACCTTTCATTCATATGCAGCTAAACAGCATTGTTTTGAGCTTGGCTTTAAACAGTGTCAAAGTAGAGGTGTGTTTCACATGTTCAGACTGTTCCAGGTTTTAGCTGAATTAATCTGAAACGCTGACTCCCTGTGTTTAGTCGTGACTCTGGGCACCAGCAGGAGGCTGGTCCCTGAGCTCCTCAGAGTGCGAGATGGTTCATATGGCACTAACATGTCACAGATGTACTTTGGTGCTCGACCATAGAGAGACTTGTACACAAACAGAGCTGCTTTAAAGTCTCTGTCTATGTCGTATCCCTTAATGTGATGATACAGTATCAATATCGTGGGCTGCAGTATCGATATATAGCCAAGAGTATTTTTTGGTATATTTTACTCAGTTTTGTTACAGAGATTTTGATGCTTGTTTAGAAGAAGGGAACTCTTCTGTGCAACACATTTGACATTTTCACTGTTTTGATGATTAAAATGTTTGTTTTTCATATTCACTTTGCACAAGACGTGGTTTAACAAAGACTTTTTGCTATTTTCTAATCTTTTAGTCACAGCCATGATTTAGCCATTATTTTCATTATTTTTTAAATATATCGCATCGAATCGAAAGTGCACTATATCGAGGTATGTATCGTATCGGCAACTTCTTAATGATACCCAGCCCTAGTGGAGTACTTTCTGTATTACCACGTTACATCACAAAGTGAAACAGAAGATTTCCGGTTTGAGAGAGGAACTCCTAAATATGCAGAGTTTGTGTGTTAAACATGTGTCAATTAGACAACAACAAAAAAACTACTCCAGGTAGGTTTGTGATGAGGAAACAAAATTATAACATAAATCAGAAAATGGCCTAATATGAGCCCTTTAAGAATCAATGTCTTATATCTATGCCTAGTAGTTATAAATCCCACGTACTTGAGCTGTGTGTTTTAAAAATAACATTATAATATATGTAATTTGGTTGCATAAATGTGTGTTCTGTTTGAGTGCAAAAAGTGAAGATTAGTTCTTACACTTCCCACTTCACAGATCGAATCAGTGAAGTTATTTTTCTATTTCTTCTCAGACAAATGCCTTAACTCACCACCTGTTCTTCAGCTCTCCAGGGTTTCCATGTTCTGTTTGCTTTGGGTCATGCACCTGATACTTGGATAACTGAACCCAGCCAGTTCTACAAACTACTACAGACTTTATAGATTTTCTTTTAATTGAACCATGAGGGAAGTCCAAAACAGACAAGTGATTATTGACTACACTACACATCATTCGTTTGACCAGACCTTCCCCTTGACCTTCTAACCTTCACCATGCTGGGACTGAGACTGGGTGCAGATCTTAATATGTATTGACATTTGACAGTGAGTTGTAGCATCACAGACAGGTCGTGAACGTGACCTCGACTCCTACAGGGTTGTTATGCAGTTAGAGACAAAAAAGGATCGGTAAAAAGATGTTGAACAAGGAGACTGACTGAATCTATGTTTTTGGATATCTTATGCTTAAACTTTACTGCTATTGATTATTTTATTTTTTTATCTGACCCTAAAAAACCTATTGTACTGTTAGTGTTTTTGTTGATTCTCCAACAGTCATGCAGCATCTCAAACTAACTTCTGTTTTACTTGTTAACTTCATCTGTTGGCCCAAAGAATTAAATTAAAGGTCCTATAATATGCAAAACTGACTTGAATTTAATTTCAATCACACATGTTTGGGTAATCCTTTATTATTTGTCCATCTACATCTCCAAAGCTAAAAATGCTCTGTTCCACCTTGTGATGTCATGATGGCTAAAATTCTCTAAATGATTCTAGTGAAGGTGCGTGAAGTTTAAAAAAACAGTGGAGCACTTCCTGATGAAACAGAGTGTTTTTTGTGTCAAACATGTGACTGAACCAAAACACAACTCCAGATATGTTTGTGATGAGGAAACAACTTTATAACAGATCAGAAAATATCATAATAGAATAAGAATATTTCTTAATACCAAATCCCAAGACATTTTAACACAGATTGATTGTTGGATGAGGAACACATGGAAACAGCTGCTGTGACTGTACCAGTTTCTAAACCATGGCTTACAGTTAGCAGCCAAAACATGTCAACAAGGTCAACTTTACTGTATGGTCTTTAAAAAAGAACCCAAGAATTTTAATATACTGTATTTTTGGACTATAAGTCGTGCTGGAGTATAAGTCGCACCAGACAAAACATGCGTAATGAAGAAGAAAAAAACATATATAAGTCGAAGCGGACTATAAGTCACACTTTTTAGGGGAAATTTATTCTATAACATCAGAGACCAGGAGAACAACAAGCTGTTAACGTCACATATGAACAGTTATTCGGATAACTAGATCATAAACTCTCCATCTCACTCCAAAACACTAAATCCATTGAATTCTTGATCCTTGGTGTCACTTCTGAACAACTCCACGACCTTAGGAAATAAACCATAAATCCATGAGGTAAACAGTTTCAGTTTCTTTCATGTTTCAGCATTGGAGTTAGTAGGCAGACCCAACTGTTTATATTTTTCACTCAAGGATTAAAATCAGATATAAGCCCTTTACATTTACATTTCTTATAAATTAAAATATTTCTTAATTTTTTCAGGGGCCGGTGTGTTTCTTCTTGCATCTGGTGAGAGTGAACAGATCAGTTTTCTGTTTGACTGCGTGGTCCGCGGCGTCTCTCCCACCAGAGGCCCCTTTGGACTCAAGCCAGTTCTGCCAGGTCTGTACCACTACGCGCGCACACACACACACACACACACACACAGACACACGCCACACACACGCACGCACAAATCAGCAGGACATAAGGTAGGGGACAGTTAACAGCAGGGGTGAAAGACTCGAATACCTCTCTGTAATTGAGTGGATTAATTGACTAATTGTTCTGTTTTTAGAATACTTTTAAAGAGATAGATATAGGTTGTCTTATATATCAAACCAGTATTTGCTCTTTTTACCGATATTTTGTTTTGCCCGACCTGCTTCCTAAAGAGTACAAATAAATAACTGCTCAATTCCATTTAGCCGTGTAACTGTGCTAAACTGAACCGCCGGGTAATAGCCTGTACTAGGGTTAGCAAACAGCTTAGACCCACACTTAAAATACTATTGTGTGTGGCTCCTGGGCTGTCTTCTTCATAATCGGATGGCTTCCTGGAATGATCCCATTTTAGGGTGAGTGAGTCAGAGGATTTATGTGCTTTGATGTGCCCAAATTATGACTGACAGCTGTTTTATGTAATTGGGTAATCCTCAGGAGCAATTTCAGTCAGACGCCCTCAGCCTGACTTAGGTGTACTGAGCTCCGTCTTTCAGGTCACTGTTACTACCTGCTCCTATTTGGCAGGAGTGGAAGATGGATTAAATGTCGTTACTTAAAGGTGCATTATGTAACTTTTTGGTCCATCACTTGCTTGTTTTTATGTCGTTGCTCTGCGTAGAATTCTCAATAGTGCGACGTTAAACAGCTCTACTGGACATTATTTAATTACAGGTGGATTCCTTGCTCAAAAATACCTAGAAACGCAGGGATTCTGACTGTGAGCGGGGTTTCCTCTCCACTTTTCTGCAGAATTTTGTTCAACAGAAACAACTGAATTGTTTGTTTTTTCCAGCTGTTTTTTATTTGAATATTTTTGTTGTGAACATGTGACTTCACAGCGGGACTCACACAACAATAAAAAATACTTTTAGTTCTGTTAAAAAATGTAGTACATACTCTCAAATGTACTTAAGTAGAAGTTAAAAATATCCATTGTAAAATCTACTTAGTACAGAAACCTGCATTTTTACTCAAGTACAGTACTTTATTACTTTTACTTCGTTATGGTCCATCACTGCTATATGGTGTAAGTTCAGAACAGTATGGTGTGCATATATTACTTTTCATTTTCAACAAATTCCACAATTTGGCCATGTCAGTGTTACTTCTATTTGTGCAGAAATGTACACTGTCAACATTTCTTATTTAAATATTGTGATAAAAAATAAATAATAATGTAACCAGTAACAAAATATACTAGAAAATATCATGTTTTCCTGGTGTGCTTTCTCCAAAATTACAGAGGTAAACAGATGTCTAACCGATCAAAATAATGAGGATCCTGTCCACCCTCTTTGTCCCGTTATTGCACAGACTGACACCGTGTGGCTGCTCTGTTTCTAAAAATAAGATTATTAGCTGCACCATCTTTACACTTTTCAATCATATCAAATGTTATATAATAAAAATACATTTATTACAGTCAGTTTTGTTTTGTTTATTTTTAAAAATCCCTTCCTGTTTCATAATTTAGGTCAGTAGCTCCTGTCAGCAAATGAACCAAAGCCGCTGTCCTTGTCCAGCCGGGAAAGAGTTACATAAATACGCCTTTGACATAACACAAATTAACGTCTAAAGGGTCCATATTATGCTATTGCTATGCTATAGAAACATACCTGGAGTTGGGTTTTGTTTCATTGCTTCATGACATCACAAGGTGCAACAGAGCATATTGAGCTTTGGCGATGTAGACAGACTAATAATAAATGGTTACTCAAACGTGTGAATGAAACAAAACACGACACAGGGTATGTTTTTGTTGAGGCAATGACATTATAACATGGCTTAAAGCTCAGAAGAGTCAATTTTATTATGTCATTGAGAAGGTATAATAAATCCTAAAAAATCCTACTGCAAATACATTTCATTATGCAATAAAATCAAATTCTGAAAATATGTTAGGCCTTAGCAATACTTTAATTAACTGAAATTCTAAATAGCTTAGATTTAGTTATTAAATATTTGATGTGCTTTCAGGAGCTGGAGGAGAAGGTAGCTTGTGTTTCATAACCTTTTGAATGTAACCAAAACTGTTTTTAATCATTCACTCACTCCTCCTGCTGTCTACTTTAACACCATCACCCCCCACGCTACCACTCTGAAAAAATTTTCTCACCCGTTTGGCGACTTAGAGCGATGCGTAGCTGCAGAGTTGTGCTGTGGAGGTGGATATTCTGGTTTCCACACATGACACTGGCCAATCACACGCTGAGCTCATGGCACTATTATCGTAGCCTGTAGTAGAATAAATAGCAGGGAGGATGTCAGGAGGGGGGCGGGGGGTCAAAGTCACCGTCCGCTCCAGCAGAGAAGCCAAAGCGCGCTAATCACTCCGAGCATGTCTGAAACCTCATCCCAGAATTCCAGTGCCCTCCCCCTCGGGACCCTCTGTAGCGCCGCGCTGGTCCCTGCAACTCTGCTCATCAAAGCTCTCATTTATGTAACTTTATTTCCAAAAGTTACAGCATTTGTGTTATGAAAAATATCGATTTGCCTTAGCATAAGCATAGAAAGATGTACTAAACCATGAAGAATGCTAACGAGGCTGACCATTTGTTACCAAGGGCGACAGATAGCGTTTAATCAGAGGTGTTGACAAGTGAACTACAAAGCAGAGGTCTATTCACATTGTTCAAAGTGTTAGGCAAAATGAAGTACCTGTTAACGCTTTTCTGTTTTGTGCATTGACATCACAACATGTTACTCTTTAAAGGTGCACTACGTAATTTTTGTGGCCACCTTCTTGTCTCTGTGGAAATGTTATTGCTTAGTCTAGATTCCCCAGAATATTCCACAGTATGATATGAAATGTATCTTGCATTCATTTAATTACAGGTAGAGTGTAGAGCCAAATAATGAAATAATAATTCAAAATAAATAGTAATTACATAACAATAACACTGAAAAAACATTCCTCTTGTAAACGAGGCGCCTCTTTACAGATCTGACATGTAACTTGGCCTAATAATGTCACCTGCTTCACTAGAAAGGTTACACAATGCACCTTTAATGTACACTTATAATCCTGAATGTACATGTACTGTTTGTCCATTTCCCACTTGCAAAACCTAAAACCCAAACTCTAACATTGTTGTTTCTGAAATGTTGAGGTGAGGGGGTGACATTGGTGTCAGTTGTTAAGATTCTGGGTAAAATGACCTTGATGTCAGTGCGTCTTGGTTCCAGACCCGTGTGGCAGGGCTATTTAAAACTTCTGTTGTGGTGCCCAAATGCTGCAGGTGTTCTCCTGTCTGACCCTCTCCCTCAGCCTTCAAAGGCTGCTGTACTTGGTCTGTATTAATAACAGAACAAAGCATTTTCCCAGGCCTTTCTGAGAGCTATTTCACATACGTGCCTCTTGAGTCACAAAGTGTATGTATGAATCATACTTTATATAAAGAATCCAATACAAACTAATCATATAGCCGTACTGGAGCGTTTCTTCTAAGTTAAATTAGTGTTGACAGTGTGTCTCCTCTTCACAGATCTCAGTCTGAATGAAACAAGTTCTGAAGAGAAGTTGAACCATGAGACTCAGGAGCTGGAGAAGCGTCTCAGCATGCTCTCTCACAGGAGCAGCACAAGTCAGTGTTTGTCTAAACTCTGTGTTTAGTTGTGTTTAATTTTAACATTGAAACTGTTCTGTGTTCCAGTCTCGTCCACATACTGCCCCTCTGCTGGAGGAGATGACCGCAGTATCTCTGGCTCGTCTGACACGTCAGACACCAGTCAGTCTGACTGCAGCATTGGCAGTCGGCTGGTCATTTGGAATGACCCTGCCACCACTGACAACTCTGCACAGCTCAGCTCTAAGTGTGCTCCTCACAGCACAGAGAAGCTGTGTGTGAGCCCTGGGGGGTCACGGCCCCTTGTGAAGACCCCACGCCAGCTGCAGGAAATCGGGCGCCAGAGCTCGTCTGACAGCGGCATCGCCACCGGGAGTCATTCGTCCTCGTACTCTGGGAGCTTCTCCTCCTACACAGGCAGCCTGGACATCCACTCTGAGGACTACGGCTCTGTCCTCATGCTGCCCCCACACCTCACACAGGACCTGAGCCCCTGCAGCTGCCCTGCCGCTCCAGGGCACGAATACCAGGTGCCCAACTCTGTCAGGTACCTCTATGATACGCCCCGAAGTCTACTGCAGGACGGGGCTCCGCGTCAGGACAGTGAGGCCTCAGAGCCGAGCCAGGACGGGACTGACCCAAGTGGACCCTCAGGTCACGGTGGACCCTCAGGTCACGGTGTGGCCCCAGAGGCAGAGAAACAGACTGAGACACAGACTGAGACACAGGACTCTGCTGAAGAGAAGCAGACTGAACCCACTGATAGGCGGACAGTGACTGAACAAACAGAGCAGAGTCAGAAACACACAGTGGCGCCCTCTAGTGACAGTCTGCACCCAGACACCTGTCACATCTGCAGCTCCTTCACACCCGTCTACAAAACCATCGTCACAATCTGCTCCACATGCGGCGGCTATAAGGTGAGAGACAGACACACACTGGCTCCATCCAAAACTTCTCACTTGTGATGTGCATATATTTGATTTGAGAAAGCTGAAATGGCCATCTGTTTGAGCCATTCCTTCAGTTTGCACAAAGATCCCAAATGTACTTTAGCTGGTCTCTGTATCGTCTGCTGAGCTCTTCGTGTCTGACCTTTGTCGTGTGCGGATGAAGTGATGCTGCTCTGTGTTTAGTGTCAAAGCGACCCACGGCCATCTGTCCTTTCAGTCAGAGCCAAATACATCTTCACTGTAAATTGTGCTGGGACTGACCTGCAGTATTAAAGAGCCCATATCATGCTATGTTCTGATCTGTTATAATGTTGTTTCCTCATGAAAAACATACCTGAAGTTGTGTTCAGTTGATTTCAGCCCTGGAATTGACAAATTCTATTCACCTAAATGTAAAAGGCAGCTGTTAACTTGACCAGTACCACTACATGACATCACAAGGTGGAATGTAGACAAACTAATGATGATTACTGAAATGTGTGAATGAAACAAAACGCAACTCCAGGTTTGTTTTTGTTGAGGTAACGACATTAAAACGTGGCTTTAAAGCTCACAGGAGTCAATTTTGCATAATATAGGATCTTTTAAGAGTATGATTTAACTCACAAAAGACAACAGAGCAGTAGTAGTAGCAGTAATATTCCAGTCCGAGATTTGCATACTTATACAGAGTTTGAGTGACCATGTAGTAATTTAGTGTTGTTTTCATTTTCATTGTAATCACAGTAATACAATTGTTTTCAGTTTGTAAAATAGTACCTCCTCAGTCATCCTTCAAAAATGCTTTTCAATATTGTGCATAAAAGTGAACTGACTAAAACTAGTATCAAAATTAGATTCTCATTTGAAAAAGTAATGGGAAAAAAAAAACAAAAAAAACCAAAAAAAACACAGACCTTTTCTGAATAGTGAATAAATATTGGAACTAGTATAAAACCATTTGGTACCATTAAAGTAACTATTATCATCTTGTATTGAAATTAGCTTTCTATTGTCTAGAAAAAGTGTTTCTATTGTGATATCAAAACTGGTATGTAATGTTTTTGTTAGTATCAAAGGCGAGTTGATTCTGCCTTGTAACAAAACACAATACACTGTAGATTCAGCACTTCTCATCAGATCACTGTTAGAGCAATTTCAGATCCAGACTGTGCTGTAATGGTTATGTGCCAACAGCTCCCCCTTCTGGTGGTGTACATAATCCTAAACAGCATTTAGCTTGAACAGAAATTACTGTTCTTATGTTAAAATCTGTTCTAAAATCACAGGGAGACTTGGCTTCCTTTTGTAACTCACACATTTTCACAAAGAGCGTATCTCACAGAATCATATATTAAAGATGGAGTTTTCTTAAATGCCCTCAGGCTGATCCTATGTTGTTCAAAAATGAATAAGTATTTGAAATGTTTTATTCCTACTACCATTCTCCTTTTAAATTCTACGTAGATGTAATGTCTTTTTATTGAGTGTTTCTTAGTCCGTAGAGCTCCTCTTTGTTCAGACTCGCTCCCTGTTGTTCAATGCTCATTTATCACTATGTGTTTTTTTACAGCTCAAACTAATTGCCCCTGGTGGAGTAATAAAGCTGTCCCAATCTGAATCTGAAAAAGCACTGGCCTATATCCAATTTATGTAGCCAATCTCATAGAACAAAATATACAAAGTTCTTATTATGTTTTCGTAGGTGTCACCGTGCATTCCTCCAAGTGGGTTAGCCCCACAGCCAGTGCCAGGTAAGTCTGAGCCACACTTTAAAATGCATGTCCTAGTGAGGATTTTAACGGCTCATATTACGCTATTTTCTGATCTATGCTATAATGTTGTGTCCTCATCATAAATGTATCTGGAGTTGTGTTTTGTTTCATTCACAAATGTTTAACTCACAAATCCTGCATATTTAGGATGAGTTATTTTCGTGAAAGAGTCGGGAAACACTCTGTTCCACCTTGTGATGTCGTGTGGTAATACAGGAAATGTGCTACTGTGTTTAAACTCCATTTACCTTCACAAGAAACATTTGGATAATTTCAGCCCTGGACTTGCCCATTTCTACTAAACTAAATGTAAAAGGTAGCCTGATTCATCCGCTAGTTTCACTTGGTAGAAACCGAGAAATTGTTCGCTCGATGGTAGGCCAGTACTTTTTAAAATTTAACCAATCGCTGCTATTTGGTCGTGATGTATGTAATGCGCCGCTAACAGGGTTAACTGGTATATTAAGCTTTTCCAAAATCCCTTAGGAAGAAGGTCAATAACGTCTTTCCCTTTGATAAAATTCACCAAACATTCTCTTTATTCTGGCTTTAAATCCTTGATCTCGGGAATTGGTAACAACACAGAATTTATGGCTCTTCTCTGATTGGCTGGTACCTGGACTGGCACTTCTGAGGTTTTTGCGAACCATCTAGTGTATTCTGTTTCCTGACCTAGTCGCTGGAGAGAAATTAAATTGAGTGGAGGCTATGTTTCTGGCTATGTAAAAGGAGCTGTCACTGTGAAAACTACCGCTTCATGACATAAGAAGGTGGAACAGAGCATTTTGAGCTTTAGAGATGTAGACAGAGCAATAATAAAGGGTTACTCAAATACCGATATATTGTCCATCCCTAGTTATAATACTTCTCTGATATGATCTGGAGTATTAGTAGCAGTACTTGAAGCAGTGGTAGTATTATTTGGAGTAGTAATCTCTGTGTGAATAAAACAAAACACAACTCCAGTTATGTTTTTGAGGAGTTACCAACATATAACACGCTCACAATAGTCAGTTTTGCGTAATATAAGACCTTTAATGCATGCATGTTTGACTTTTTCACTGCAGCTTCCACATCTAGTTGTAAAAGATTTCGGACAGTAATAATGGGAATTACTGGTAGACATATTTTCAATCCATCAGACGAGTATGTTGACAAGTCCCTGTTCAGAAGTATCAGGGAAGTTGCTAAAGCTACAAACACAACAATGCAGTCCTGTGGATCGACCAACACCGACTCAAAGCCAAAACATGAAGATTCCTACACACCAAAGAAAGGAAGGGACAAGTTTGTCAGTCTCCTTGCAGATCTTTTAGGATACTCAAGGAAGATTGATAAAGTCAACTCCTACGAATCCATGAGCCCCGTTTTTGGACTGAGACTCAAATCTAGAGGGGCACGTGCGTCTGGTGTTTACGAAAATTGCATTCGTTGTGAAGGAGAGCAGTGTCCCCCTCCTCCTCGGCCTCGTCCACCCATCATACGTCCAAACAGGACCTCAGCCAGTACAACCTTGCCATCTGCCCCAGCAATGAAGACAAGCCAAGAGACGGTCAATGTTAATGAGCAAGGCCTTGATCAATGTCGGAGATCACAGACAGAGGAGGTCGCAGGTTCAACTCCCAGCTCTGAAGGTAAGGCTTATGAGGCAGTCTAGCTTCGGATTCATCTCTGCGTTTCTATTTCTGAATTAAATCTTCTCTTCATTCTGCTGAGATCTTTTTCTTGGAGCTTCCTGAAGTTGAGGCTTTTCATTCTGGCTGCGTTGTTTACTCTCCTGCTTCTTTTCCAGAGCTCTCTTTGTGTGGTACAAAAGCATGCCCATTTTGCATGTCATTGTTCTCTTTGATTTGTTTCCTGTAATTTATCTTGTAGTATCATTAATGGCAGTTATACAGTGACTCGCAGAGTGGGTAGCCTGTTAAAAAATTATATATGTATGAGTACTGTTACTTTAAAATAATGTTACTGAAGTAGAGGTAAATGTTGTGACTGTAAGCATAATTTCTGATTTAAGATTTGAAGTAAACGTAATTGCATAAACAAAAAATTAAATAATACGAAAAGAAAAGTTAAGTTAAGAAAAAAAAAGTTAAGAATCTAAATATGATGAAAGAAATAATGCAGAATGGACAATGTACTGCAGTAAAAAGTTTTTCAAAATGTCCTAACCAACTCTGGTGACCGGTCCACTACTCTTGCTTTAATTATCAATAGTTTTGTCAGCAATGATGCTATAATTACAGAATCAGTTATTCATTATTATTTTATTAAAGTGTTTTGGTTTGAAGTTTCATGTGTCTGTCTTTATTGTTTGACCAGATAAACGTTTCTCTGGTAAAGACGAGAGACGCAGAACAGATTATGAGGTCATGGAAGTCCGAGCAATGGACAAGAGTTCAGAGGTAGGTTTTCCCCTGACATTTATAGAATATATATTTTGAAAAATGGGAGTGTATATTTACTGCTATTCCATGGTGATAACCTGAATGAGCACATTTTATTTTGTCAGGGAGAAGACAAAAGCAAGTATGAGTTAATGGGCAGCTGTGGCCATCAGAGGTTTTTCCAGGAGACCGAAGGTGAGGTTTGGTTTTTAACATTTAACATTATAGAAATCTTGTACTATCTTGTAATTGTGATGAAACATGACATATTGCTCTTATCTAGTATAGCTTTATTGAAATTTCAATAGCTGCTCTTAGATTGGGCTCCTGAATTTACATAATGCATTTTTCAAATGCATAGACTGGCTAGATAATGACTATGGATGAAAGATGACCACATAAATCTTATTAGAAAGAGAAAAAATGGTTCAATCCAAGCGTATTAACACTTGGGGGCAAAGGTTTTCATTCAGGAACATTGTATTTTAATGTAACGTTTTTGTAACTGTCAGGTTACCTCCTGTCCCACGTGTATTGTTCCTATGTGATGTTGCACCTGCTGTGATGTGAAGGGACAGTTGTCTTGAAGTTGTTTGGACATTTGGACTGCCCTCACCCTTGACAGGCTCAGAGTCTCACCCACACCTCCGTCTGAGTCGCAGCTGCTGTCAGCACAGGGCACTAGAGCCATCACTCATGTACTGCCCCTCACCACATCTTCAGTGTTCACATCGTGCCCACAACCACAAGACGTGTCCTGTCAAAGTAGAACTATTACTGTAACTACTGTGCACACAGCTCTGACTAGGTCAGCTTTCAACTGCCACTTCACACTCAGGCTATTTATACAGTACCGTGTATTTGATCCTGGTCTTACTGAAGCAGCCTGCCTCGTGTCAGTCTGTCAAACCTCGGCTCCAACGGATGATTTAACATATTTACCTGCATAAAAGAGCATTCTGTCCTTGCAAATGTGTGGAGTTTGATATACTCTGGGTCAACTGAACAGCTAAGAATAAAGTTGTTCTTTGTGTGTGTGTCCACACAGCATGAGACCCGTGAGCCCTCTGTTCCAGCTGCAGTCTTTAAAAGTCACACATATCCACAGACAGTGTGACTCAGTTTGGTGAGAGGCACACATATCCACAGTGTGGATCAGTTTGGTGAGAGGCACTGCCAGAGGCGGTCCTGATCTGACAGCTATAATGGCCCTGACCAAAGAGCCTCCGCTGGGACTCATGTTTGGAGACACTCACTTTTATACTTCGACACAGTCAATAACAAGAAATGCCTTTTTCCAAATACAGCCTCACTCACCGCTCACAAAAGTTTTCAAAGCACTTTTGGGCACATGCACACAGATGGCTGTGACAGCCATTTAGTTCATTTAATCTGTCAGTAAGAGAAAAGGCTTTGACAGTTCCAAGTCACTTTGTCAAAGCTGGTAAAGTGGTAGTGGTTTCATGTACTGGCAGGTGACTTATGACAGGTGAAGCTGTCAGGGGAATCCTGTTGTCACAAGATTAACCATCGATCACTGCTGTAAATCAGGCTGACAGGGCACTTAAAGACTACACTGGCTGTAATTTGTATTTGGCAGGAAAAGCTTCAGTGTGATGGAGGAGGGGGACACATTAGCTCAGGTTCATATGGTGTCCAACAGACAATGATAAAAGACTCTAAGGCTTCGGTCAAGTACAATGTAGATGCCTGTATGTCAAACACAAGCTTCATTTGAAATGGTAGGAATATTGATATACATCGTGACAAGAGCACTATATCCTGTCATTGTGCTTTATCCTAAATCTAAACTGAAATCTAAAAGACATAACATGTGTTCCATGTGTTTGATCTGTAGGCTGCGTGTTTGTGTTCCCTCCTGAAGCAGCAGGAGCAGACAGACTCCGCACTGAAACAGTGACGTATGTGAACATCCCTGTTAGTCCCACCTCTAAGAAGCAGCTCAACTACATGGAGCTGGAGCTGGAGCTGGGCCCCGGGCCCCGAGGGACCGCTCCACACCTGCCCGCTCAGAGTGAGTAGCCACACTACTGCACACAGACTACTGCAGGACCAGCTATAGCTGCTTCACCATGAGGAGTACATCAATCAAACAGATACATTCTGTCCTTTCAGCGTGGAAACTATTCAAATATGAATGCTGTTTCAAGGACACTCTCATCATTACTTTCTCTAAAGCCCATTTCACATGAATTGTACGAGCTCCACAAATGACTTTAAATCATGAAAGTTTTAAACACCCACATTTTATGAGCCCATGGAAGTGCAATCAGAATAGGTTAACCTTTTGAGACAAAAACCCCCCAAACATTTTCTTTTGTTCATCAAGCGGTTCTTTGATTAAACACAATCAGAAAATATAATGGCTATAATAATACTTCATGTATAATACTTCATGTATTATTATAGCTTGTTGATGGCCTGTGACTGTACGCTCAGATTTAATTATTAGAGTCACTCCCAGTTATCCTCAGCTGAGCCCCGGGCATGTGAGATGCTGCTGTGAGCCATCATTGACAGAGGAAGTGCCCATTTGCGTCAGAGTGTTCAGAAATACAGATGAGGGTTAATCAGTGAAGTCAGTGAGCTCTCATTAAAGTGTCACCTGGGAGGGGGCGTGGCCATCTCAGCACCGCACGGGGTCGAAGGTCGCTCTCATCACAGCTGTGGAATCACTGATAGCACCAGCGCTCATCTTCAGAGCAGCTCATTTCCCTGATGACAGCACATGGAAACACACGACCTGAGACATTATCTTTAAGTGATTCTCATTTACACGTGCGGCTTTGTGCAGATCTTACGCCTTATATTATTGTGATTTGGTTTCACGCAAGGGAAGTATTACATTATGCTAATAGCACTGTGCTGGGGCCAGTGTAGAGAGCATGAGGAGAATGTTAACATCCGCCAATGAATTATTTGCATATGTTTGAGCTCGGTGCTGCGTCAAGACAGTGAGGGCAGGCTCCCCCTCTCCCTGAACACTGTGGACTTGTTTGGCCACTGACAGGACTGTCTGCACAGGGTCATTCAGCTGACAGCTAAACTGCACTTTCCACTGGGCTCCATTGTCTAAAATGAATTAATATTTTAACAAAAGTCGACTAGGGAATTCAGAATGTGTGTGTCTGGCTCCAGTGGGTAGGAAAGTTTAGTCTTCACACCAACAGCAGACTAATTCATGGTTAAGTCGTGCAGTTTTCATTGTAATTGTTCTTCCAGACTTACATTTGACACAATTACAGCTTTGCCCAGTTCACTTCTTTGGTATTTTAGGCAAGATACTGCATTCTCCCACAGTTCTCTTTTTGTGATCCGAATCCAATTAAAAAAACAAAACAAAAACATGTAAATATTATTTCTAGGAAGCTGTAACCAGATTTAAAGTCGCATTGTGTAACTTTTCAGATTTTTTTTCTGGAATATTTCACAGGAAAACCTTTCTATCTTCATGGAGACTAAACCAAACCAAGTTACAGGTCAGATCTGTGGAGAGGCGACCCTGCTCACAGTCAGAATGCCTGTTTTTCTAGGTGTTTTTGAGCTATAAAACCACCTGTAATTGAATAAATGTAAGATAAAGCTGTTTAATGTCATACTGTGAAACATTCCTGCAGAGCAGTGAGATATTCATAGAAACAAGCAGGTGATGGACCCCCAACCAAAAAGTTCCACAGTGCACCTTTAAAATACAATAGTTTGAATGTTGAAATTATAAAGTCTCATTGGACAGTGGTAGAGAATATTTAGCACCAAATGCTTCAGCAATGGATTATTAATGCTCTTCTCTGTCTTCACAGAAAAGTGCTCCACTAAATACGCTCAGATCGACATTGCCGCCACAGAGACGGCTCACAAAGTGGGCACCCAGCATGCACTGGGGCGGCAGGAGGGGCTGCACACTCTGGATCTGAGACGAAAGGCTACACCTCACTGACTTTAACAATCACTCAAAACTGTGACAGCCAGAAACTTGAAACTTTTTTTTTTTTTTTACAATAGTCCGGACCTTTGGGTCAGGAGTGAAAGGGGAGGACAGTTAAAAGAGGACTCACCATTTTATTTCACAACTCATATTTTGTACTTTGGTTTGAGACATTAACTGTTCTTTCACATATTTCACATGAACCCATAGACTATATATAATATAAGTGGATATTACAGTGGCCGGTAAGTGCAAAATGCTTTTACATTTCACAACACACGTTCACAAGTTTGAAAACAAAATTACATTTAAAATACACATTTACATCTTGAAAACAAATTCCAAGGTTCTTAAAACACATTCGCAAATGAGCAAACAAATTTACAAAACACGAAAAACATTTGTAGAAGCGCAGAGACAAATTTACATGTGCCAAAAACACAAATAGAAACCCCCGAAAAAAAATTAACAAGAAAGTGGAATGTCCCAAAAATGAGAAATGACGAACGACCATAATGTTAGTTCTGCTCAGTAGTTCACTAATGCATCATCGTTGTTCACCTTTAAGTTTTCGTCTTTCTTTCCTTGATAGTTGTGGATAAATTCTAATTGGAAGAATTTTTATCCTTTGTGGACTTTTTTGATTGAAGATTTGGTGCTGGGGCAGATTTATGAATATTAGATATTTTGCCATAGAAAAGCATTAACTGGAAGTGACGTTTACCCAACAGCGCGGCACTTCCCGCCGTTGTGAAAAAGGTCTATGCATTTCTAGGCTTTGTATTTGTGTTTTTGCCACTTGTAAATTTGTCTTGGTACTTGTACAAATGTGTCGTGTTTTGTTTTATGAAACGTACATTTATTTTGAAGTTCTAAATGTGTATTTTGCCGGCCTCCGTAGGATATAGCTAATCTGCTAGTTGACACGTTCCAAATAGGAAGTGAGCATGTGTGTGCTTCCGGCTCCATCGACTCAAGCTCCAATACACTTTGTATTAAAAATATCGCACCTCTCTCTGTAACTGCAGCAGTCACACTAGTCATTTTGGTCTTAAAATATTTGTATTAACACATGGTCCTGGAGTTTTTATTTCTCTGCTTTGTCCGTGAATCAATTCCTACTTCTAATATGCACCTGGTCCGAATTTTTCCTCGATACCTGCTTGCCTCGTAAGCTTCATTTACCTGGACCTGAACACTGTGGGTGATGACACACTCCCTTTAGTCCATTTCTTTATACAGTCTATGGATGAACCTCCGTGAGCAGCTCCCCCACTCATCATGAATATATTGTTCTCATTTGTATTCACTTATACTGTTCAAACTGAGCTAATCAGGCCCAAATGTATAAACATGAGGACTACAATCAGATCTGCATAAATGACTCATTCATGCAACTTACATGGATTAGTAATACAAAAGCATCTGTCGGATACAATACAATGAACAATGTAAAGCAAGAGACAGGATTTTACATTGGATTCAATAGGCAACATCTCACAGCAAAGGTTTCATTAGTCATTTTTTTATATTTATGCACATTTTAATTCTCTCATGTATGACTAATATTGTGTACGCTCTGTTTTCTTATGTTCTTAGCGTTTTATTTTCCCTTTTAGATTCATTTTTGTACATATGTTTTATGAATGGTACATTAACTGTCTGAGAAATGACATGTAAAAACACAGTGTACAGAAATATGAAAGCTCGTCTCCCGCGGCAAAATATTTCTTTGTAAATTATTTATACTTTTTTGATGTGTGTTCAGTTTGTAAGAGTAGTAATGTATGGGACTCTCCCTGGGGCATTTGTAAACCTCTTAAATAATAAATGTTAAACTACTGTTTGTATTGATAATGTGTCAAAATGTGCAGCCACAAAAATTTTCTTTCACTTTCAAGGTTGTGTTTTTCTGGCCTCGCTTAAAGGTCCCATATTACGACGCTGAATTGACTCTTGTGAGTTTTAAGCAGAGGTGCAATCAAGTTAGTGTGAATCATTACAGTCAGAACAGAAAGAATTCAGATTTTAAAATGTTTCTCAAGTCACAGGCCTCAAGTCTGAGTCAAGTTTCAAGTCACTAACCTTCAAGTCCAAGTGGCGTCCCAAGTCTTAGTCCATTTTAACAAGTCAAGTCTAAATCAAGTCAAGTCGAATTCTAAAAATAGTGATTCAAGTCTGACTCGAGTCCAAGTCACGACTTGCAAGTCTCCACCTCTGGTTTTAAGCCATGATAGAATGTTGTTACCTCATAAAAATCAGACCTGGAGTTGTGCTTTGTTCCATTCACACTTCGAGTAACCCTTTATTATTAGTCTGTCTGCATCTCCAAAGCTCAAAATGCTCTGTTCCAGCTTATGATGTCATGAAGCAGTAATTTTCAAGTTAACATCTCCTTTTACCTGTAGTTCAGCAGAGATTGACAATTCCAGAGCTGAAATTGGAGAACTGAGCCTAAAAATACAGATTTGTGTGTTAAATAAAAACTAAACTTGAGGTATGTTTTTGATGAGGAAACAACATTATAACTAGTGCTGTCAGGCGATTAAAAAAATTGAGAGATTAATTAATTATAATCTGTAATTAATTAATCTAATTAATCTCTTTTTAATCTGACCTAAAAATTGCTGAGAAAAGCCTTCAACATGAGGTATTTTCATTTAAATTCATTATTACATTATTATTATTACATATAAACCATGAACACTCTAGAGCCACATCAGCTCGTTTGAAATTATAATGTGTTTAATGCTGATTTGCGCAAGTCTCACAGAAACGAAACTTAAAAACCGCATGGCTAATTTGCATAAACTAAGCGAGAAAAAAAAATGCTCTTGTGTCGCTGATGCGGTTCAGCTTCTGTGGGACTGAAGGACACGACTCAGTGGAATATAGATGTTCTTTCTGTGACAGAGTGTTGAAGGTGAAGGTGAAGGTGAGTGTGTTCTGTGTTTGAGTCGTGATGTTTTCAGACTTGTGCAGGTTTATCGCAGATGCGGCGAGAACGAGAATGAAAATCACAATTGTTTGCGGGAGCGATGTGTTATTGTCCCAACAACACATAAAAACAGATTTTATAATAAGGCAACTCGTGTACAGATACAGTAAAGTTAGAGATTAAAAATGAGATTAACGCGATAAAAAAACATAACGCGCTAAATATGACTAATTAATTAATCGCAATTAACGCGATAATTTGACACCCCTAATTATAACATAGTGTGATATGGGTACTTTAAATTGAAAACTGGACCAAGTTTTTTTTTTTAAATGTAGATCAAAATGTAAAAAAAATAAATAAATTGAATCGATTCGATTTCTTGCTCAAAATGTTGACAAAGACGACAAGGGGTATATGCTGCTCCTGCTTTTTGCAATGCTCTGCAGATGTTTATACTGTTAAAAGAGCACTATGTAACTTTTCTGGCCGGCCACATACTTGTCTCCATGGAGGATCTTATTACTTTGTCTATACTGTATGCATGGGCTTAAACACAAGACAAGCAGGTGGCACTACCAGGCCAAGTTACAAGTCACAATTTACAGTGTTACAGTTACAATGGAGAGGCACCTCTGCTCACAGAATGCAATGCCACATAGCTAAGCTTAATGCTATACTGTGGAACATTCCAGGCAAAGCAATACCATCCCCATGGAGCTAAGCAGGTGGCAGATACCCAACAAGAAGCATTTCATAGTGCACCTTTAGGGTAAACCAGGTGTGAATTATTTTCCATACAATTATAAAATTTATATTGCACAAAATAGATTCTTGTGAGCTTTATGACATGTTATAATACTGTTTCCTCATCTCAAACACACCTGCAGTTGTATTTTGTTTCTTTGAATAATCCTTTATTAATCCTGTCTACAACTATAAAGCTCAAAATGCTCCATTCCACCTCGTGATGTCATGTAGTGGTAGTTACAGCTTTTACCTTTTACCTTTAGTTCAGTAGTTTCTTGTGTGAATAAAACTGAATTGCTGGTATTTTTTAAATGAGGAAACAACATTATAACACAGATCAGAAAAAATAAAATAAAATAAAGCTTTTAAGGTACAGTTTATCCATTTATTACGTTCTGTTTTTTTAGTGACAGACTGTGAAGCGTGTATCGTTCATCATTATAAACATATGCTTTTATAGTCAAACTCTCTTTTTCCTCCAAATGTCGCTATGTAAAAATATCACAAGGAACACATTAATCATTATACAGTAGTTTTATATAAAAGATCAGATGGAAGAGCAGTGGCCTGAAACTGAATCGCGTGGTGCTTTCAACTTTGCATTTGATTCACCGGTTAAATTCAGTTGAAAGCAGTGAGGTGTAATGATTAATGGGTCTGTACTTCAAGTGTAAATGCAAATTGGCTACTGTAATCCTAAACTGTTTTATGTGCTACCATCCTCACTGCTGTCATCTATAGTGAAAGGCAGGTTCAGGTTTAATATAACAGTTCAACCATTTTACAGTGAAATAAATGTGTCCTTTCAACGCTTTAAAGGTTTTATTTTACACTAAACTGATTCTTGTGAGCTTTAAACCATGTGTGAATGAAACAAAACACAAGTCCAGCTATGTTTTTGACCAGGAAACAACATCATAACAGGTCAGAAAAGGTCGTAATATGTGGCCTTTCAAATATTTGCTGCCATTGTCAAAATCGAAAGGTACTTTAGAAATTCAAATATCTCATTTTCAGCTCAATCATTCATTACAGAGGTCAGACTGTTCTTTGTGTGCGAGTGCTCTTGAGGGATGACTGAAGTTTAATTGTAACATTTCACAAATGAGCTACTAAGTGCATGAACATGTCCCAAACTCTGCATATATTACTGTGTTCTAATCCACTGTTGTAAAAGTATGCCTCAATACGAGAATTATAATATTTTAAAGTCACTCCTCTGCACTTGCTACTATCAGTTTGGAGTGACAACTTCTAAAGCTTTTACTGCTCTGTTTTAAATAGCACGTCTTATGTAAAGAAAAGAGTTTGAGTGTGAAATTACTTTTCATTTAAAGGTGCACTTAGCTAACTTTTCTAGTGAAGAGTTTGTCATTATCAGTGGAATGTAACAAATTAAATGTAGGAAAGTACAGTTCTTTCATAAATTTTAGATATCTGTACTTTACTTAACTACATTTTAAAGCAGATTACTTCACTATATTTGAGAGCAATTACCATATTTTCCACACTATAGGGCACACTCTTAAGCCTCCAACCCCATCAAAAAACGACTGTGCGCCCCACAATCCAGAGCACCCTATACATGAATCCACTCAGGTGTCCCAGCACGACTTCAGTAAACTACAAAGCCACACCATCCGCAGCGCACGCAAACACACACGGAGCAGACAGCGACCACACAGCCAAAAACACCCACAGACACACTCATCTCTCCACGCTGATGAGGAACGGAACAGAGGAACGAACCGAAAAAGTGAGAGCAATGTGCCACTTCAAGACACAACTGAACAACTGAGTCACTGCGAACACGCCAACAATCCAGCGGTCCCAGACAGCACCCTCCCTACACGCCACAACTGAACAAAGCCCAGAGTCACCTTGACTCCCACTGACCCATCCAACTGTTGTGTTTCATTTAAAGTCCGGTGCAGTTTATTTGTGAAAAAAGTTTGAAAATAGACCATTTAATGACAGTGCACTTTATAATCCAGAGAGTCCTATAATGCAGAAAATACGGTATCTGTACTTTATACTCCACTACATTTTTTAACTGGACTGAAAAGTAAAAGTATTTTTATTATTGTCCTAGACCCGCTGAAAAATCTGAAGGATTTATTTTTAAGATATTTGTAGTTTGAGCAAAAAAAAAAAAAAAAAAAAAAGTTGTTTCTGTTGAACAAAATTCAACACAAATCTTTCTTAAAATCACTATTTGAAAATCTGTTCAAAATAGTTTTACATTTTACTCTTTAACTGCATTTTAGGAACTTTAATGCTTTTACTTTAGTAGATTTTTTCATGTGATACTTTTACTTTTACTCATTTTATGCTCTGTACTTAAGCAACAATATTGAATATTGAGTACTTCTTCCAACACTCACCCATCACCCATGGAGATGCTTTGCCTGGAATGTTTCACAGTATGGCATTAAACGTACCTGTCTTGCAGTTATTCAGTTACTGGTGTTTTATTGCTTAAAAGTACAAAAAAATGTATTTGTACAGTGAGAGAGTTTGCCTTTTCACAGATCTGGCACATAACTTGACCTGGTCTCCACGGGGCTAGTTTAATGCCATACTGTGAACCATTTAAAGAAATAAATAGACAAGAAGTGGCAGACCTTCCATCAGAAAAATGACACTGCGTACACCTTTAAGGCTGTTATTAAGCCAAAATATACAAGGTAACAATATTACAAAAGGCTGAAAGATGAGCCTAGTCTTTCTCAAAATGGTAAAGGCCTAGACTCAGACTACAGGTTTTCTAATTCACTTCCAACGAGACACAAAGCCCCAGTATGATTGATCCAGTGTTAATTAAATGTATCAGGTGTGTCCCATTCACGGTCAGGACAAACGGTAGGATTTCCCAGCACCTATCGATCCTCTAAATTGTCTTTCCGGTCACATCATTTTGTTGTTCATTTCACTCTTCTTCACTTTTGCCTCGATCAATTCCCATGGTGAGATTAGATTACAGAATCTCAGTTTTACAGCTGGTGTCTACATAAAAGAGATTATGTAGTGTAGTTTCTCAAGTGGTGGTACGAGGACGGACTACTTCAGGGGGCGTTTGAATTGCAGCGGTCGTTGTTGTTGAAGAATCCGAGTATCATTCATTCGTTTTTCAATATAAAACCAAAAATAAGAAA